CATAAAATTTTATGATTTCTTACTCGAGATTCCCGGAGCTCAAAACTCGGGATTCCCGGAGCTTAAAACTCGTGGCAATAAAATCAAAAAGGAATGTTCGGGGCTCGGGGCCTCTTATCTATTGTTTTTGTTTTGCACACGTGCAAGGAATGAATTCATTCAATAAACTATCTAATTTCTAAGAAACACAGATGTTATGTTTCTTCATTTTTGGTCACTTTTGGTTACTTGGCTCAGTCAGTACATATTTGTTTGGCTGTTAACAAGCAACAACATGAGTACAATACAGCAATTGATACACTACGAACTTACATTGAAAGATGTAATGATATCGAGTATCATATATTCGGTTCACTATATGAACTAGAAAAAATAATTGATAAAAAATCTGTAAATGGCTTGAATCAAACGAAGATAACAGATTTTTTATCAATTATTTAAAACATACAGTGTAAGTTCATTCATTATAATTATGTACTTGACTTTCATTTTATATTACCTAATGTAATTTGTCGTAATAAATGTTCTATGAAATTGTGCCTTTTTATGTCGAAATTTGATGAGTTAACTCTTCATATCTCGAAATTCTTGTTAAGTCGAACTCTTGCTATCTCGAATTTTTTTTGGTTTCCCTTGACATTCGAGTTATCAAGATTCTACTGTATATTTTCTTTGTTTTTGACATTTTCCGTGATTTCAACAGTTATTCTGTTCTATAGGATAGAAACAAATTTTAAAAAAATAGAAGATAATAAATATCGGTCCATTTGTTCCTGAATTATAAACAGTGTAACATCAATTTTGTTTTATGTAGATCTAAAGATTTTAAAATCGTATGAAATGTATGTTTAATTTCATAAACTTCAAGTCTGATATGATCAGATGTGGTAACAGTAGCTGTCAAAATAATTCCCAAACAAAATTTCAAAGTATATCTTAAAATTGTTTACCAAAACTATAAATTGTGAATGATTTCCGCGAATCTCACTTAAGTACATATTTTCAAATTCGGTTGTAATTTCCTTCTCACTGCTGTTACCTAAATAAAGTAATGTCATTACAGCAGTGATAGAAACTAGTGACTATTTCAGGACTGTTCTATTTTCAACCACTCAAAGCACTTGTATCTTCGGGGGGATAGAAAATAACATCAGTGAGAACATCAAATAAAACTGCTGAAATCGAACCTGCGATCGTTTAAAATATGAGGACATTTTTAAATAGTGAAAAAGTGAAAAAAATGAGTGTAAATCACTTTAAAGCAAATATTGAATGAAACTATTTACACATGATATCAGTGTAATCGAAAGTTGTTTGACCAAATTTTTAAATATTGACTTAAACAATTGCAATTTTGTGAGTTATTGCGTCGTAAAATTTTACACACGTGCGAAATGCAAAAAAAAAAACGTTTTTTTGTAATTTTAGAATTAATTATCGTCTGTAGCAGTAATTATTCCACAGTAGAACATTTCCATACCAATGTCAATCGCCTAGTTAGATAGAGATTCTTCCTTGGAAAAAAACATTCGAACTAAATAGATAACAAAGTGTCAGCTATAATCAAATATCTCAATAGTGGCGAAATAGATATTCGACATATTAATCAGGAAATGATTTATACGCAATAAAGTATCACTTCATAAAGTGAGTAGTTGTGATTTATAAATATGTACACTGATAAATAATAATCACACTACTTCTTCCCAAGTGTGATAATAGTAATAAAAATCAAATTAAATTCGAAAAAAAAAACACAGTGTATATAAGTAGTGCTATCTTGCGTTTATCTAAGAAGCAGCTACCTAGTGTTTACAATAGCTGTAAAATTACATATTTAGAGAAACTCGGGCGTGTTGCAATAAGATAATATTGAACATGAAGCATGTATGTGAGATAAAACTAAGTCAGGAATGCATAGTCGTATACTCGTATCAACATTGCGACATGGCGACTGAAAATCGTCCGCTGCGGGTCGTATCCAAGTGAAAAGTAGCTTACAGCCACATATATTTCAGTTTGCAGCAAAATGAAGCAGTTAATAACGTGTAGCACTTATAGTTTCGTGTTTTTCGTTTTTGTTCCTTGCTCACTTCATTTGTGTGTGTTGATGTTCTGACTCTCGCAAATGCTCTCCCCCATTTCGTTGCTCACTATGTTAGCGAGATCGCCCCTATTCTGGCCCCCTGTTTAACATCTTGACGTCTCTTCCATTCGACCCTGCTCACTGTGTGTGTTTTGTGTGTGGCTGTTGCCAATCGATATTTCGACTTGTGTGAATTTGAATATAATTGTCGAGTCCATTCACGTCGACGACTGCGATGGGTGATATATCAATGCTAAAGGAAAACACACGACACATGCACGCGTGCATCGCAAAATACAAGGGGAGATCGAGATGGAATGCCGAAGAGCCCCACGAGTATACCATTCGTGTTTCAACAGTCATTATCTCATCGATTACTCTTGCGGTGGGCAAAAAATGCGTTTATTGACTTTGACTTGGATGACACTTTGATGTTTTCTGATACGATGTAGCGCTTATGTCGTATTAAAGTATCATATTTCATTTTTATTAATGATTCGCCCAGTGTAAGCTGTGTGTTATTACTGAAGTAATTCTAATTATTGCTTGTTAAAGTCTGTAATTTGCAAATCCATCTGTTGTGTTATTCAATAATCCCATGTTGACATATTTATAAGTTATATCTAACGTTTTACTATATTACTATGACCAATTTAGCATAAACATTCTAAAAAGTTAATTTAGTGTGGTCCAGACATATGGTTAGTTATTGGGCCAACGGGTTTGTTCCAAGTAAGGTCAGTTACAACCGTTGAGACAGGTCAAACCCTCATGTCCCTGCTGAGGTGCTGACTATCGATTTTATTCGAGACAAAACGTAGCAGGTTTGAATTCGCAGACATAAAATTCGTACTCACGCGTAAACCTGTACAAAATGTTAAATTTTACATATAAATTACAACATAAAAATAAAAAAAATCAGAAATATATTACATCTCAAATGTCAAATTTTGATTGACATACTTTTACTATAATATTATTGAAAAAAAAACTCTAAAAAATAGATCTCATTTTAAATTCTATAGTTTTTAAATGCGTTGTAACAACCCTGTGGTTGTGGTTGTGTGCATCATTTAGCCGCTTATTATGTTCACATTTTTTTAGCATACCCGGAAGGTGAAACCCGCCATTGTTCATCAACATGCGTTGTGTTGTCTAGGTAATAATAGAAAAAATTGTGAACAAAACGCACGCAATGAACGCGGCGCGCAGTGGAATAAAAAAACGATTTCAATGCCCAAAAATTTGTTTCTGTTTCTATTGTCGGGCGGGTTTTACATATTTTCAGCTAAGTGCGTGCATGCGTCCCGGACGCACTGGACAATAGAAAATAACGAGCGAGATTAGGGATTTTATATCCAATTTTCGAAACGATTCCACGGACGCAATAATTCATACAATATTTTCAAGGGTAATACATCGTGGTGTCGTGCTTTTGTGGAATGCAGGCATATTGCACCTAGGCATGCCCGGGGGGTTGGGGTTGACACCCTTTGCGAAATCTTGCGGCGTGAAATCCGATTCAACTTTGTGCCTTCTGTTCTCCGGCTCTGCTCTGTGCCAATATCGTGTACAACATCCACGCGCTAAACGATTCCGCAAAGTTTTTCCACACACAGGGTGTACGTGAATTTAATTTTAATTGTATTTATTGTTTGACGGGCAATGAAAAGATGCCCTTGTATATAATTTTTACACTTCACCCTATTGCACAAAAGGTGCATACGCAATGGATTGCACACTCCACACGAATAGAATGCCACCGCAAAAAGGAAGCAAACAATTCTAATTAGTCACGATTTATGGTCGAATGGGATACGGTTATTCTTCATTCCTTCTTCCGCATGCGGTACCTACACCCGAGGGTGCAATGAGGTGGCAAATTCTAATGTCGAATTTTATTATTTCATTGCGATTTTATAACGGCACGTAGTTGTAGTAATCCAATGCGGTTTAGCAAAAAAAAACCTGATTTTATTGATATAAGTCTAATATTTGCATATCAACACTGTCGAATCATTGATTCTTATTTTCGTAACCAAATTCAGTTACGCTTTTTCAAATAACAGATTAAAACATGAATACATGGATTTATTTTTTGTGCTGATAAGAAGAATTTGACATACTTTTGCGTTGTCAAATTCTATAGGCGCCAGTGTGTGGTTTGGAAGTGGTTAAAATTGATATCACACGACACTACTTGAATTTGTTGCGTTTCCAAAATACATGCTTACATCGAAACCAGTTTCGTACCGCAGTGATCTAATATAATTATATATAATCACTATCTAAAGCTAACTGCGTTTCTTTTTGGCGAAAAAATATTAATTAATTGGTTTATAAATAGGTCATGATCAGTGCGATTTTCGAATGGCTGGATTTTTTGCAAATTATTTGCAGTTATCAAAAAACGCGCCGTGATGACGCCAAAAAAAATGTACACGGTAGTAGAATTATCTAATTTATTGTGTACACGTGCGACACTTGAGTATGAGTTTCTGATTTTTCCATTCGAAATCGTCAAAGCCAATATTGTTATAAGCCAGATATCAAACTGGAATTTCATTGATATATTCGAATCGAACATTTTGGTATAGTGTAAATATTTGCTTGTATTTATTTAGTAAAAATCAACGAGTTCCGCTATAGATGTGAACTATACAAATTGCAATAGGAAGTACGTCATCGAAAATGTGATCAAACTAAAAGCAAAATTTCGATTTTGACATGTTTGGAAAGATAACAACATTTTGATGACTAGTGATACCGAAAGACTGCAACATTGTATATCCGATGTTTATTATTTGAAAATTTCCCCCAAAATTTCAGGGTTTGAGTTTTTGGTTTTGATTTCAGGCGTAGAACTATTGCATCAGTTTTATGTTGGCCCTGATATGTTATGGACAGGACGCGATAACAAATTTCTTTGATTTATTAATTTAATCGAAACCTTCATTAGGAACATTAATTAACAACATTAAAACATGTTTATATTATTGTTGTTCATTTGTCTCGCTTGCTCTTGTGCTTCTTATGTTTGTGTTTCTCCTTTTTATGTTTTTGCTTCTTGTGTTTGTGTTGTTTCTTTTCGCTTGTCTGCTCATCGCTTTTCTCCACCCAGTCAGAATCCTCATCGCTGGCGGCGCTCTGCTTAGGTAAATTTGTCGCTTTTCCCGGCTTTCTGAAGGTAATCTTCGCCGGTAATCTCGGTCCGTACATATTGTCCGAGCTAATCAAGTTCTTCATGCCCTCATCGATAATCTCCGGCGTTTCTTCATGCGATGCTTGTTTAGGCGCTTCTCGTACTCTCTCGGACAATATGGACTCCACGTTCGACAAAATCCCCGGCTTCATCGGCTTTATTTGCGGCAACAGTAAATCTTCCGCTAAAGTTTTTGCCTTCATTTCGGCATCCCTTGCATGTCGCTCCTCCTCTTCTTCGTTTCTTGTTGTATCATCGATGTGTTTGTCAACGGTGTTATCATTATCGGCGTTAGTGTTATCCTCTTCATCGCTATCGGAATCCATGAAAACGGCCTTGAATAGATCGGCGTGTTTCGATATGTCGAGCTTTTCCGTGGGATCCAACGCCGGTTTTTTTTCAGCGACATTGGTGGCGGGACGCTCGGCGCTCGTGGTCGACGATGACGCCGTCGCTGTAACTGATACATTTGCGTTGTTGCTAACCGACCACGGCGCGGATATTGTTTCTATTGCTGGAACTTCAGGCGGATTTGTTGATGCAGCAGTGATCTCGTTGCGCATTTGCAGACCCGCCTCGTGGACAACATTCGATTCGGCGGTCGTATCCAACGAGGAAGCGCTTTCAAAAATTAAATTTCTATGACGCTTTTGCTTCGTTTTAAAATCAGCATCACTGTTAACAGAAAAAAACCGTAATGAATCATTTTCAACACGTCAAAAAAGTTTTATCTTTAAACACTTAAAAAGTTTTCACGCGTTCGTCTCATGATAAAATAAAGCTGAGCTGGTCATACACGGATATTTTTTGCATCGAATTCTGCAATACTATGTTTCCACATGTCATCGGTTACAAGTGACAAAGTTTCGCAAAGTCCACGACCTTAAATAATTCCAACATAAACATATCCCGATGCGCCGCATCCCAAAAATACACATTGTTACTACATGTGAAATGTGTCGACCGAAAAAATAAGATAAATATGTACATTTAACGTCTATGCGACGTCTAGAGCGTAAATGCGCGCTGAGAAAAAAGCGCAGAGTAATAAATGTCAGCGTTTTGGCGCAATCCGAAATGTTACATACGCAAAGAAGCAAGTGCAAGGCTCAGGATCAAGGTTTGTTATTGAACCCAGAACCCACCACGCATGAAACGACGCAACAATGTTAATTAGATGCTAATTGTGCAAAATTAAATTTGGCCGAAAGCATTGACTCTAATGAGTTATCAAGAGTTGTAAAAGTGTAAACACGAGGACACGTGTAAAGAGACAATTGCTGAATTGCAACTTGCACGCCCTTGAACTCGCGCGCGCAATACTAGTCGTAAATTATGTCGCTACGAATTAATGCACTACTAGTTTAATACCAATTAACTACAAAGTTTAAAATACCGCGTTAATTTGTGATCGGATTTATCAATATTTCAATTTGGGCGAGTGACCCTTGCCATTTGCATTCTGGACGCCATTAAGATGTATTTAATCACATATCAGCTCAAAAATCGATTCGAATCCACCGAATGTTTCTACAACAAAATTAAATCTGCTCCAAATTCGATTGCGTTCGAATACGAGTTTACAATGTCCTAATTTTTGAAAACCAGATTAACAAATCTTATCGCCAAGCAAATAAAAACTGTGTAGTGAATGTGTCGAAATATAAGCAAATCTGAATGAATAGTTACCTAAATACTGGTTCGGGCACATTGAAGCGCTTGCATAAGAGCGCGTTCGGCAGCCATGAGGTGACAACACGCGTCAAAGGACCGAACATTTTTTTCGCCACAGCGTCACGCTGGTCCTGCGTCCCGTGGGTGGTTCCCGACGGTTGGACGGGCTGCAACATTTCGACGTCCGCTTCCGATTTGCCAGCGGAAACAAATTTATCAAATATTAATCCGGCCGGGCCGACGTCGAACATTGTCGCAAGTTGTGGTGCCTCATTTTTGATTTCCACCGTTGTTGGTTTTGATATAGTTGTTGTTGATTTGGGCGCCGATAATCTACTGTTTGTTGTACCCTCGCCCAGAATCAAAGCTCTTGTCGCCGCGTCAATTTCGTGCCTCTTAGGTGTCACTTCCTTATCGTCTGGTGTTTGCTGAGGCTCGAAACGTGACTTTCTCACTTTATGCTTGCCGGTAAAACTGCTCGGTATCGTCGGTGGTGGAAACTTTTCCACCATCGACAATTCATTTCGTGCTTGCACAAACATATCCAGTATCAATTTACGTGTGTCAAGTGATTTCGGTTTCGACTTTTCCGAAGATAGCTCGAAATCATATTTTGTTAAGTCTTCTTTCACGTAGATGTCTTCGTCGTCGTCTTCAAACGCACCGACGCCGAACGCCTGCCCCGATATTGATAATTTTTTGTTGTTGGGTTCATTTACAACTAGTTTCGATGACGTGAATAAATTAATATGACTTCTATCTAAACCCTGATAGCCCATTCCAAAAGAGTTTGACTTTGGATTAGATAAGGCATTTTTATATATTTCTGGTATGTTACAAGCATTTTTATTGCTAAAGTTTCTTTTTTTAGTATAAGTCTTTGGCATTTCACAACCATACACTCTTTTTGAACCATCTGAAGGATCTTCTTCATTGATATCTTCATTATCTTCACCTTCTTCTTCATTACCGTGTTTGTAACCCATGTGTCTTAACAATAGATATCCAATGGTTTCATTGCCACTGTCAATCAATGTTTGCAATACTGGTTCACCAGGAATGGGCCCATCAGACATGACTTGCTTTTTCCTCTTTCTACTAGTGTTGTATTCATCTGTTGCCTTTACAGTTTGTGGGGCAATACCAAATTCACTCATATCTTCTTCATCCATATAATCCTGAGCTCTCTGTTGTTTATTCTCTGCTTTACTTGATCTGGAACTTTTGAATTCTGATGGTCTCCAACCCTCAAGGGAACCAACAGTGTTGAAGAATCCTGCTGAGAATCCTCCTGTAAAGGCACCATGGAATCTTCTTCTTCCTTGAGCATCTTTGGCAACTTGGTCTTCAATTGGAATGGCTCGTTTCTTGGGTACATTATCTAAAATTTACAATTACTAGTTAGCTTGCTTGTAAATTAGAATTTGATAAGTTTTCATACCTTCATCATATGGTTCAAGCGCTTTGCCATAGAACCCACGAAATTGTGCTTCGTCTTCGGAATCGCTAGACATTGTTGTATGGTATTTAACTTTATTAGGAGCTAAACAAAAACGTTTTGTAGACACAGGTAAACATTTTAACCTAGAAAATAATTTTCCTATTTGAATTCATAAAAAAATCAGGAATAGGACTTTTACGTAGGCATTCAGGAGCACAGTTGACGAATTTAATTTGAAAATTTATAAAATGTACTTTTGCGTTAGGCAACCAATCATTCACCTGGATATATCACTAGTAAATTTAAAGCAGCAACAAATTTAGTGCTTTCCTAAGTTTTTATTTTGAAATAAATCCATCGTAATGCCCAAGTATTAATATATTAAAAATAAATATAATATAACAAAATAAATACCCAAATTTGTTGAAAAAAGGTAATGCATCACAACTTTAATCTCTAACTGTAAAATCTCTTAATTAATTGCTGATATAGCAGTGCGTCGAACTGCGGCACTTAACAAAGCATTCGAATCTGGTTGTTCAGTCATAATGTTAACTTTTGTCCATTGCTTCATCTCCGATGATTGTTTAATCGCGCCCAGAACAGCTTGAACATATAATCCATCTTCAAAACCTGCTGCCGATTGAACAGGCTCCTTGATCCACCCAGCTTTTTCTTTTACCGGAAGAAAAGCTTCTCTTAAAGCCCCGACCATTTTGCACAATCCCTTAGCGTACGGTTTCGGTATAATTGTATTCGAAATTGGTGTTTTCATATCCTCCACATCCAAAAATAATACTTCTTCTTTTTGTTTCTCCTTGCGACCAAACAAATCTCCACCATGCACAACCAAATGCCCCTCATTTCCAGAAATGCTAATCTCTTGTTGGAAAACACTGCCAATTGTATGGCTATTAATAGTTGCAGTAACTAAAGTGCCACCATTTAACTCCATTTGAAAACAACAGAAATCTGGAGCAGATATCTGCCTGATTCCTTTGATGTTTTCAGTTGTTTTTGTGAAAGTCCTGACAATACCATGTACTTTAGTTGCAGTTTGACCTGTAAGAAATGTGACCAAGTCTACCACATGACTACCAATCAAATTTAAAGTGCCTCCACCCATTAGATCATCACATCTCCAGTCGTAAGAATTGTTCTCAGCATACAACCTGCCACTTTGTATTCGAATGTCAATTAAAGTGATTTGAGATCCAATGTAATTGTCTTGAATGGCCTTCTTCATGTGTGTGATAGCTGGCAGGAATCTGAATGAATGATTGATGATGGAAATCAATGAAGGATAATACTGACATGCTCTGACCATCTTCAAAGCATCTTCTTGATTCAGGCCACCTGGTTTGTCACAGACAATGTGTTTTCCAATTCCTAGGGCTTTGACTGATATCTGTGCATGCAAGCTTGGGGAACAGAGCACAAAGATGAGATCAACATCTTTGCGCAATAACACATCGTCAATTTTACTTGTGTGAAATGGTATGTTTAGTTCCCTTGCCAATTCTTGTGCATCCAGAAGTGTTCTACACCAAAGTGCTTCGATTTTAAAGCCATTGTCGCGCAGAATTGGAACTAGAACTCGAACAACTGAGCCGTTGCCGAAAACTCCAATGCCTGGTAACATGGTGTTTTATTTAACTTTTTTTTAGTTTCAGCAATGTGTTTATTTATTTGATTTGTTTATCCATAAAACGTGAATCATAAGGTGAACATTGGCTATGACAAATAACAACAACGTCTGACAGGTTATATGGTGCTGTCGGGGAGTACACGACACTTCTCCGCGAGACGTTTCTCCTCGGCAGGTACGAGTATATAAACTTAGTAAATGTAGACGAAAGACATTCCTTCTCCAGCAATCACATCTCAACTTTAATATTAACTGTAACTATAGACATACTGATGTTTTGCACAAATTCCAATTTAGATAAGATAAGATGAAAGGAGTGAAGGTGCCATTTCTTCATTATTAGAAATCTCATCCTAGCTTTTTCCGAGGTGTAAATAATAAGATATCACATTGCATGATTAAATTGATAAAATTTCAATGGCTTCTTAAACCGTTCTGCTGACTGCAATAAAAATTAATTGCATTAATTAAATAGGTCAATCGAGTTGCTGATCTAATTATGTTTTGATATAAAAGTGATTGAGGAACTCAAAGTAAGCGTCAGTTTACAGTCAAATGTTTTAAGTCCGCTTTTCCCAAGGCAATAAAATGAATTTACTGAATCTGACCGCATATGTTAACACCCGAGCAGAAGCCAGGTGAAAACAAACTAGCAATTTCAAACAATAATAATTTTACACTATTTTATCTGATTTTTATAGAATTTTGGACAATGCAAAGAATCCACCAGGACAGCGCCTTCTTGGCTGGGACTTATCCCCAGAAGATCTGGTCCACATACCGGAACACTGGCTTGTCTATCCCGAACCGGAAGCTTCCCTTCATCTGCTGCTGGGATTGTTATACATTGCTTTCTTCTTGATGGCAATCATTGGTAACGGACTAGTATTATGGGTATTCATGGCGTAAGTAAACTTAAATTCCACTTAATTTGATTTAATAAACTAAAAATGATAATTTGCAGTGCAAAAAGTTTGCGAACCCCATCAAATATGTTTGTAGTAAATCTAGCCTTCTGTGACTTCATAATGATGTTGAAAGCACCCATATTTATCTACAACTCATTTAACCGAGGTTTCGCATGCGGTAAACTGGGATGTCAAATATTCGCATTTGTTGGCTCTCTCTCTGGGATCGGTGGTGGAATGACCAACGCATGCATAGCATACGATCGATACGCCACCATAACGAATCCTTTAGACGGGAAAGTAACAAGAACAAAAGCATTCGTCATGATACTTCTAGTATGGATGTACACGATACCATGGGCCGTTTTGCCTTTACTTGAAATTTGGGGACGATTTGTACCTGAAGGATTCCTAACAGCTTGTTCTTTCGACTATTTCACAGATACTTTCGACAATCATTTGTTTGTCGCTGTGTTATTTACATTCTCTTACTTTATTCCAATGGCTATGATTATTTACTTTTACAGTCAAATTGTAGGTCATGTGTTTAGCCATGAGAAAGCGTTACGAGAACAGGTATAAATTAATAATATTTTAGCTTTAAATGATTAAATATTATATTTTTTACAGGCAAAGAAAATGAACATTGATTCACTTAGGAGTAACCAGAACGCTAATGCTCAATCTGCAGAAGTACGTATTGCAAAGGCGGCCATCACGATTTGCTTCCTGTTTGTGGCAGCATGGACTCCTTACGCTGTCCTTGCCATGATTGGAGCATTCGGTGATCAATCGCTACTTACACCCGGAGTGACAATGATTCCTGCTCTTGCTTGCAAATCAGTTGCCTGTTTAGATCCTTATGTTTACGCAATTAGTCATCCACGATATCGAATGGAGCTTCAGAAGCGTTTGCCATGGCTGGCGATCAAAGAAAATTCTCCTTCTGAGACGCAATCAACAGTTACCACAGAAAATTCTACTAGTCAACCGAATGCATAAACTCTGCAAAGTTAAATGGACATGCAACACCGGAAAAAAATACTCTGATAGTAGATTGTACTATAAATATAGATTGTTTAATTTGATTTATTTATTTATGTATATTTTAAAAAATTCAATAGATATCCATGCATACAATTGAAAAACGAAACAACATATAAAAAACAAATCATTTATTGATTCATTAGTCATCCACCCGTAGTGTCCGAGCTACGGGAGAAATTTTTTTTATATTTTTGATCGCACAAATCTCAAAATTTAATTGGGTTTCTTTTTTTATTCGAGGGCCTCGACGAAGGTAATAAAATTTGCAAATTATGTGCGAAGCGCATGTGGGTTGGATATTTAATGCACGTGTTGTGTTGTTTGGTCGATTATCCACCCGCATCCACAGCCGCAATAAGACGCAAATCCGTTTATTCGCATTTTTGATTATTCGCCCGCAGCCGCCAAGATGGACAGCGATTCCAGCAGTGACAGCCAGCTGGATCCGGTGGCGGCTTCGGCTCGACGTCGGCGTTCGATGCCCATCGTAATGCTCGCCGAAATGGATGCTGAACAGAATCACGTCTGCGTTCCACCAAGGGAATACAAAAGGTTTGAAAAGTTTTTACTTACATGTGTGGTTTATTTGAGCAAGCGCATTCCTTTGCAAACTTTTTTATGGTTTGGGAACATTCGGTGCTACTTTCTTGACTAAACTCGAAATAAACAAACTAAATAATGAACATTTGCTCCGAAGAAAACTTTCCATGACTATCTTGATAATGATTTATATTATTTTGCTTGTTTTTATTAAACAGCACACTTTTTATTTTAGAAATGCGCGCGCTATTCCCTTCCACATTCCACATCGTAATGTTTTGGAAAAGTACGAAGGACCACCGCCAGAGCCACCAGAGCCATTGGTGAGTCAAAAACAAACTTTTTTCAGTTTTTCAAAAAAATAAAAATGAAAACTTTTAGTCTGGTTTTCGCGATTGTCAGAGACGACTTATTCGCAGTAGGAAAACAGAGTTGAAACCAATTGAACCAGTGCCGAGTCGTTCATTGCTAGCAAAAGCAACTGCATACTCACATCCTACAGACAAAGAATTTGACACTTATGATATTGTGTTACCTCATTATAAAGTTCCTGATGTCGTTGAGCAAAACCAATTGATTGAAAGTTTACGCTCCGGCAAAATCGTCGGTTTTGTTTATTTAATATTTGCTGTTACAAGATCATCGGAGCATTACACTCCTTACGCTCTTAGGTAATATAAATTTACCTTGATAAAATCAACAAATAATGTAATTATTTATTGTTGATATTTAGAATGGTACCTTATGAACAAATTGATCAGAAATATTTCATCACAATGAGCGCCCACGGCGTATTACAATGTTCCTCCGGTGAACAAGTGTTTACATCTTTGAACAAATGGCAAAAGGAGTACAATATGTATTGCCGATTAATGCGATTCAAATCATTCTTCAATTTTCGTAAATGGAAAGCGTTTTATAGTTGGAGGAAGATTATCTCATATGACAAGTTTCAATCAGCTGGTGATTTCTTAACGGACAATTTATTTATTTTGAATCCATTACTAAGAAACGCAGTATTAATCATTCGTGAAATGGTACATAAACTAGCGTATAGTACATTCACAAACGTGACTTACATAGAAAATCAACATATTTTCTATTTCAACGAACTTCAACTCGAGAAAAAGGATAATTTAGCCACCAGTTTACGACAATTCCGTAGTGTTGTGGCAGAAATTGTGTCAAACGCTTGCCATGGTGCCTTATTAGAGAAAGGATTTATTGTTGATGAGTCAACTGTAGAGCAAAGTACGTGACAATAGCATAGCTGTAGGTTTTATTAATTTTAATTTGATTAAAATGTATTTTTAGCACGCAGAACACGTGAGAAAAAGGCTAAAACTTCGTATATTGAACAAGCTAACAAGAGGAAGTTTTCAATGCGTTTGTGCTGCTTCATTATATTTATAGATTATATAATGCTTGATATGTTACATCACGTTATAATAAACACCATGGAAGAGTTGCTGTGGATTCTGGAACAACATATTCCGTTTGTACCTAGTGAAGAAGCTCTTAATGATCTAAGCTTAATCAATATTGATATTCAAAGACCAGATGTTTCATACCAAGTAAAAATATTATATTTAGACATTTAAAATAGTATCTGATTAATTTCATTTCAGCAACCCTTTATTATTGTTGATGTATTTATTAAACCTGGTTTGATTTATTTCTGGCCCAATTTAGATGTAATTACAAAAGTGTTTCGTGATTTGGAAGCTTATTGGTATGATGTTGTCCTTGGCTTGAAGCCATTTATTGCTGATAAATTGTACACAGCTTTTACAAGACCCATAATCAACGGTAAGAAAGAAGATCGTATTTGTGGCTATGGCCCGGAATTATTCTTCTTTCTCGAAGATAATTTATACTTGCATGAGATTCGCGGTAAAATCTATGATCATCTTGAGAGTAATTATATTATTGCCGAGAAATATTTGCTAAAGTTGTATAAAATCAAAGAGTTTTATACTGAGGACGCTATGACTGAGGAAGCAACCATTGAAGAAGAACGTGAATTGGAAAAGTTCCGTAATATGTGTTTAAGATACAATGAAGAACTTGCTACTATAGAAAGTTTATGGGATTGGCAACCTATGGGACTATATTATCTTCAAATGATTGAATTTAAAGGTTTAGCTTCGCCAGAACCCAATAGATTGATTGGTATAATTGAACGTGTGATGCCATCGTAAGAATTTTATTCCTAACATTAAACTATTTAAAATTTACGAAACTATATTTTAGTATTGGTAAAGAAAAAGTAGATTACTTAATGGAAGAAGTAGACAAAGCGCAACTATTTTTGGAAACTGAACCAACATCAACTATTGAATATGTTGCGTATCTTGAATTTATTGATTCGGCACAAATAAAGGCTGATGATTTAGAAGTCGTATTAGATTATTGCAAAGATTTGTATGATATTACGGAGGAATTTAAAATTCCGGTGCCAGTCAATGATATGAACAACTATTTGGGTCTCAGTGTAACCATGGGTGTACTGCGTAACTTGATCGATAGGAAGATTGAAGAACGCGATAAGATTATTGTTCGATTTAATGCCAAAATGAATAAGGATATCAGTTTACTTATTGAGGAGATTGGAAAGATTAAAACTGATTGTTCGGTAATATTTCAAACAATAATATCTCATGTTTGTGTTAATGTAAAATGAAATTTTTATTTATACAGCAAGAATGGTTATATGACTCTGAATCAAACATTGCCGAAGTTACTGCTTACTTAAATGAACTGTATGAAAACCTTATGGATTGTTTAAGACGTGCCAATGAGTACAAATCATACCAAAAGCAATTTAGGGTAAAATAATTAGAAAGAAAAAAACTATTGAAGTAATAATTTGTTTGTTTATTGTTTAGTTGGAAGTTACTAGGTTTGACATGTTGGAAGAAGTGTTAAATGATGTCAAGTTACGAATGCTTCTCTGGGAGAGTGTTGGTGGCTGGGCCGATCAAGTTAATGAATGGTACGAGGTCGACTTCAATACTCTTAATGTGGATGATATGAACTTGTTCACTGCGAAAAATATGAAGAATATCACACAATTAGAAAAAGGTTTACCTAAAAATTTGGTTGTGCCTGAATTGAAAGAATCTGTAGAACAGATTAAAGATAAACTCCCTGTTATTACCTACCTGAGAAATCCCGCGCTGCGACATCGGCATTGGATGATGATTGAAAATTTGCTCAATTACAAATTTAAAGTTGACGAAACGCTTACTTTGGAACTGTTGGAATCGTTGAAAGTTTTTAGTTTTCCTGAGGAGTTAATGGAGATTTCTGGACAGGCTAGTAGTGAATACAGTCTGGAGATGCTTTTGAAGAAAGTTGAAGAAAACTGGAAGGCGTTAGAGTTTCCTATTATTCAACATCGTGATGCTAAGGATGCGTATATTTTGGGTTCATTGGAAGAAGTGCAAGCGATCTTGGATGATAGTAATATTAATATTATTACTATTGCAAGCTCTAGACATGTGGGACCTATTAAAGCAAGGGTTGATGAATGGCTTCGAGTGTTGGATTTGTTTGGAAGGATAATGGATGAGTGGCAATTATGTCAACAAAGTTGGATTTACTTGGAAGTTATCTTTTCTGCTCCTGATATTCAAAGACAACTTCCAAATGAAGCAAAAATGTTTTTAATTGTTGATAAAGCCTTTAAAGAAGTTATGCGGAGAACGGCCAAGAATCCTATGGCGATTGAAGCAGTTAGTTATCCAGATTTGTTGGAGATATTCCAGAAAAACAATGAATTACTGGAACAAATCATGAAATGTCTGGAATCTTATTTGGAGACAAAAAGAGTTGCGTTTCCACGTTTTTACTTTTTATCAAATGATGAGTTATTGGACATTCTCGCGCAGACAAGAAATCCACACGCCGTACAACCACATCTACGCAAGTGTTTTGATGCTATTTCAAAGTTAGAATTTGGAGTGAAAACTGCAACTGAAGGAGAGGATGGTGAAATTGTCGAATCTGCAACACCAATTTTGACTACAGATATTGTAGCGATGATATCGCCTGAAGGTGAAAGAGTTGCTCTTGGAAAAGGTCTGAAAGCAAGAGGCAATGTGGAAGACTGGCTTGGAAAAGTTGAAGACAATATGTTTGTGTCCCTACGTAAATTGATGAAGGGTTCTATGTATGACTACATGTCGCGTACACGTGAAGCTTGGTGTTTGGATCATCCTAATCAGATTGTTCTCATTGTTTCACAAATAATGTGGGCACGAAATGTTCATGCTATTTTTGATTATTCCAAGGACAAAACTGTTGACATGCAAGAATTTGAACAGAAAAATATTCAGGTATAAATAAATTTATATTATTTTTACGAAAAATTAATATTTTGTTATAACTTTAGGATTTGAACAAACTTGCTGGTTTGATTCGTACTGATTTGAACAAAATAACAAGAAAAGTTTTGATTGCATTGATAACGATTGATGTGCACGCTAGGGATACCATCACACAAATGGTTAAAAACAATGTTACAAATGGGTATTAAGCACTTAAATTACTTTACAATAAAACAATATAATTAATAATTAATTATTTTAGAAATAATTTCAACTGGTTAAAGATGTTACGTTATTACTGGATGGAAAACATTGACAATTGTGTTGCGAAGATGTCTAGCGCATCGTATGTCTACGGTTATGAATATTTAGGAGCATCGGGCGTCTTGGTCATTACACCATTAACAGATAAATGTTATCTTTGCCTGATGGGTGCTTTGCAATTGGACTTAGGAGGAGCGCCAGCAGGTCCGGCTGGTACCGGTAAAACCGAAACAACAAAAGATTTGGCTAAAGCGTTAGCCATTCAATGCGTAGTTTTCAATTGCTCGGAGGGATTAGATTACAAGATGATGGGACGATTCTTTTCTGGTTTGGCCCAATCTGGTGCTTGGTGTTGTTTTGATGAGTTCAATCGGATTGATATTGAAGTCTTGTCGGTGATTGCTCAACAGTTGATTACTATTCGAAATGCAAAAGCTGCAAAACTCAACAGGTACATTTCTATATTTATTTAAGAGTAAATAATAATCATTTTAAATGTTTTCGTAGATTTATGTTTGAGGGACGTGAAATTAAATTGGTACATCAATGCGCAGCTTTTATCACGATGAATCCTGGTTACGCAGGAAGAACTGAATTACCCGATAATTTAAAAGCACTATTTAGACCAATATCTATGATGGTGCCTGATTATGGTATGTTTTTCTTAAAATTAGTCTTTTAGGCTTAATTATAAGTTTTATTTTTTCTTAGCACTTATTGCTGAAGTAACACTGTATTCCGAAGGCTTTGAATCTTCAAAAGTCCTCTCATATAAAATGGTCCAAATGTATAAACTCTGCAGTGAACAATTATCTCAACAAGATCATTATGATTTCGGTATGCGTGCTGTTAAAAGTGTTCTTGTAATGGCCGGCGCCTTGAAACGTGCCAGCCCCGACCGCAATGAAGATGTTGTTTTGATTTGTGCTCTACGAGACAGTAATTTACCAAAGTTTTTGGCCGATGATGCCGTGCTATTTCAAGGTATTCTCTCTGACTTGTTCCCTGGTGTCGAACTACCCGTTAATGACTATGGTAACTTTGAACTTGCGATTGTTGAGAGTATGTTCAATGAATTATTGCAACCTGAAGCATCGATGATCAAGAAAGTAATACAACTGCATGAGACTATGATAGTGCGTTGGGGTGTCATGTTGGTGGGACCAACTGGTGGTGGTAAAAGCACGGTTCTAAAAACTTTGAATTTATCGTTAACCAAAATGTACGAAGATGGCGAAAATGGCCCATATTGGCAACCTGTTCGTACGTATACAATGAATCCGAAAGCTGTGACTGCTGGTGAGTTGTACGGTGAAGTAAATCCATTTACTCTGGAGTGGAGAGATGGTCTAATGGGTATTATGGTACGTACTGCTGTGAATACTACAGCGGAAGATCATCAATGGGTGATTTGTGATGGACCTGTTGACGCTGTATGGATTGAAAACTTAAACACAGTATTGGATGATAATAAAATGTTGTGTCTTGCTAATTCTGAGCGAATTAAACTAACTCCATATGTGCATATGGTATTTGAAGTTCAAGACTTGGCGCAAGCATCACCAGCAACTGTAAGTCGTTGTGGAATGGTTTATATTGATCCGGATGAATTAAAATGGCTGCCGTTCGTGAAATCATGGCTACAGAGACAAGATGAGAATACATTATCACAGGAATATAAGGATTTTATCCTGGAGTTGTTTATTCACGCTGTTGAAGGGGGATTTATTTATATTAGGAAGAGTTGTGACTATGCCATTCACCAAGTTGACATTAGTAAAGTCTCGATGGTATGTGCCTTGATGAAAGGTATAATAGAAAACACAAAGATGGATAGAATAGGTGAGAAAGCCAAGGTGAGAAATTATATTTGCCAATCCTTTATGTTCTCCTATATTTGGGGCCTGGGAGGAAACCTAGATGATATCTCAAAAGAGAAATTTGAGTCCTTTGTCAGGGAGCAGTTTGATGAACATGCCGATGCTAGAATACCTCCTGGATTAGATTTGTGGTCAGTATATATGGATACTGACAGTCACCGATATGAAACGTGGAACACTATCATTCCCACATTTAGATACAGTCCTGAGTTGTCTTTCTTTGACATGTTGGTACCTACTATTGATACAGTCCGTTATGGTTACATCATGGAACAGTTGATTAATGTTAACTACCCTGTTTTTTACACTGGTGGCACTGGTGTGGGAAAATCTGTGATTGCAAAACAAGTTTTGAGCAAGATGTTTGAAAGTGGATTGTTTGTTCCGATTACTTTGAATTTCTCCGCACAGACAAGCAGTATGCGAACGCAGGAAATATTGGAACTTAAATTAGAGAAGCGTAAGAGGAACCTTCTGGGTGCCCCACTTGGTAAAAGAGTTGTGGTCTTTGTTGATGATGTAAACATGCCAAAGTTGGAGACGTATGGTGCCCAACCTCCGATTGAATTACTGCGGTTGTTTTTGGACCATGGTGGACTCTACGATAGAGAAAAATTGTTTTGGAAAGATATTAAAGATGTAGTTTTGGCTGCGGCATGTGCCCCGCCCGGAGGCGGAAGAAATCCGTTAACTCCACGATTTGTAAGACATTTTGGCATGCTATTTATTCCGTCCCCCAATGAATATTCTCTGAAAGTAATATTCAAGTCTATTCTAAAAGGCTTCTTGTTTGATTTTTCAAACAGTGTGAGAGATTTAGGAGATAGTATGGTCAATGCAGGTGTTGATATTTACAACAGAATAGCCGAAGATTTACTGCCGACACCAGCAAAGTCACATTATGTCTTCAACTTGCGCGATTTGTCAAAATGTGTACAGGGAATCCTACAAGCTGATTCCGGTACAATGCGAGAATCTGGAGATATGCAGCGTTTATTCTGTCACGAATGCTTAAGAATCTTCCATGACCGTTTAATTAACAATGAAGATAAGGTATATTTTTACTATTTATTGAGAGAAGTTTGCAATCGTTGCTTCGGTAATCCAGTGTTGAGTTTTACCGATGAGTCTATTCTACAACGCACGCCTGTTTTATTATTTGGTGATTTTATCGTCTTTGGCGCTGCTAAAGAAGATAGAATCTATGAAGAAATCAAAGATCTCAATAAGTTAAAGAATGTATTGAATGATTATCTAGATGATTTTAATCTAGTAACAAACAAGGATATGTCAATGATATTTTTCATGGATGCCATTGAGCACTGCACCAGAATTGCGCGTATTTTACGTTCGGATCGTGGAAATGGTCTTTTGGTAGGCGTTGGTGGTATGGGCAAACAAAGTTTAACTCGATTGTCAGCTCATCTTAATGGTTACAAATGTGGTCAAATTGAACTAACTAGAAATTACGATCATACTGCGTTTTTTGAAGATCTTCGTAAAGTGGCATTTTCGGCTGGTGCATTGTATGAACACACTGTATTTCTTTTCACCGATACACAAATTGTTCAAGAGGAGTTTTTGGAAGATATTAATAATTTGTTGAATTCTGGTGAAGTTCCTAATTTGTTTGAAGCTGATGAATTGGAGAAAGTTATTATTACTTGTCGTCCGGCTGCTAAACAGGCTGGAATTGCAGAATCAAATCGCGATGGCATTTATGATTTTTTTGTGAACGGAGTGAGGAATTTATTGCATTTAGTACTTTGTATGAGTCCCGTTGGTGATGCATTTCGGCGAAGATGTCGAATGTTTCCGTCACTGGTAAATTGCTGTTCGATTGATTGGTTTGTCAAGTGGCCAGATGAAGCGTTACTTTCTGTTGCTGAACGTGCCATGTCTAATGTGACACAAAACCCAGAGACAAATAAGAATTTAGCTGAAATATGCGTCGTTATACACCAAAGTGTAGAAGTTATGACCACAAGATTTTATAACGAAGTACGACGCCATTATTATACGACTCCAAGTAGTTATTTAGAACTACTTAAACTTTATCAAACTATGTTGACACGCAAAAAGGCTCAGATTTTAAAAGTCCGAGAAAGAACCGAAAATGGTTTGAAGAAGTTGTACGAAACAAATTCTGTTATTGATACGATGAAAGATACTTTAACGGCAATGGAACCTAAATTAAAAGAAAAATCGAAAGCTGTTAAAGAGTTGATGGAATTCTTGTCGAAGGAACAAAAATCTGCTGATAAAGTACGTAATATCGTTAAAGATGACGAAGTATCAGCGAAAGTCAAAGCTGAGGAAACTCAAGCTCTAGCTGACGATGCACAAAAAGATTTGGATACTGCTATGCCTGCCATGGAAGCTGCTATGAAAGCTTTACAATCGCTCAATAAATCTGATATCAATGAAATACGCGTGTTTCAAAAGCCACCAACACTTGTGCGTACTGTAATGGAAGCTGTTTGTTTATTACTGGGAACAAAAACTGACTGGGCTGCAGCCAAACAAGTAATGGGAGACGGTAATTTCTTGAAACGATTGCAAGACTTTGATAAAAATAATATTCCGGAGAAAACACTGCAAAAACTGAAGGCGTACATCGACAACAAAGATTTTCAGCCGGATATTGTTGCGTCTGTGTCCAAAGTGTGCAAAAGTATGTGTATGTGGGTAAGGGCAATTGATATGTATGCTAAGGTCTACAAAATTGTGGAACCCAAACGAAAGAAGTAAGTTACATGAAATAATTATCCAACATTTATTCATTTATGTTTGTGTGTAGACTGGAAGCAGCTGAAAAAGAATTGAACAGTGTAATGGGGGTTTTGAGAGATAAACAGAAGCAGCTTGCTGATGTAGAACAACAAATTGCGACTTTGCAAGCTAACTTTGAAGCTAGTGTGGCTGAAAAGAAAGCTCTGGAAGATGATATGTCTCTAACAGCAGCCAGATTACAGCGAGCAGGGAGATTAAACATTGCATTGGGTGATGAACAGATTCGATGGGAGGAAAGTGTTAAACAATCTGCTATAGATTATGAACTAACAACAGGAGATGTATTGTTATCTGCTGCTTCAGTTGCATACTTAGGAGCCTTCACAAGTTCATACAGAAAGGAGCTTGTAGATGGTTGGTTGGAAATATGCACCAATTTGAAACTACAAACCTCGCCAAATTACAGTATTATTACTGTATTGGCAGATCCCTATGATATAAGATACTGGAACACTTGTGGGTTGCCAAGGGATCAAGTGTCTACTGAAAATGCTATTCTTGTTACTCAAGCTGGAAGATGGCCGTTGTCTATTGATCCACAAGAACAAGCGTATCGATGGATTAAACAAATGGAAAGTCTTAATAATTTGAAGATTATTAAACAAACTGATGCTGGGTATATGAGGATATTGGAAGGTGGTATTAGAGTTGGCATGCCTGTGCTTTTAGAAGAAGTAGGTGAAACCTTAGATCCTACACTGGCTCCCATTTTGAATAAACAAACTTTTATTCTGGTAAGCTACACATTTATTGGAAATTTATTTTTTTAACCATATTATCTTAGGGAGGGAGAACCTTAATTCGTTTAGGTGATACCGATGTTGAATATGATCCCAATTTCCGATTCTATATCACTACGAAATTATCCAATCCACATTATTTGCCGGAAGTTTGTATTCAAGTAACTATTGTTAACTTCACTGTCACACCATCCGGTTTAGAAGATCAGTTATTAGCGTAAGTACAACAATAACACTTTAGATATAAATCAAAATTATTACAATTTTAGCGATTGTGTAAGACTAGAACGACCAGACTTAGAAACTGTAAGAACTGAGTTAGTTGTACGCATTAACAACGATAAAAGTCAACTGAAAAACATTGAAGATAAAATATTACGTATGTTATTCCAATCTGAAGGCAATATATTAGACGATGAAGAACTTATTGATACACTCAATGAAAGTAAAGAAACTTCAGCGATAATTGCTGCAAGATTAATAGAAACTGAAGCAACTGAAGAGAAAATTTCTATCGCGCGAGAAAAATATCGCAGTGTTGCAACCCGAGGTTCCATTTTGTATTTTGTCGTTGCACAATTGGCTGATATAGATCCAATGTATCAATATTCCTTGAAATATTTCAATCAAGTGTTTAATTCTGTAATTGAAAACACAGAGAAAGTTGATGATAATCTGGATAAACGTCTCCATACTTTGTACGTTGAGATAACTCTAGCGATATATACAAACGTCTCTCGAGGATTATTTGAACGCCACAAGTTAGTTTACAGTTTTATGCTTTGCGTAGCTATATTGAAGGAGAGTCAACAAATCAAGGAATCACAGTATAACTTTCTACTGCGTGGTCCTGTTGGTACCCGATCTTACGCCGGTAAGAAACCAGACATTCCAACTTTGTCAGATCTAATGTGGACTTCCTTTCATCATCTGCAATATGAATACGATGAATTTAAAAATTTAGTTGCAGAATGCACTAAAATAATTCACGTCCAGATTGGTTCCTTTGGGCAGTCTCTAACTTTTATTCCGAAAAATAACGTAAAGTCTACTATAGACTGGAATACTGAATTAGGGGACTTTGAAAAACTGCTACTGATTAAAGTAATGCAAGAAGAAAAGTTGGTGTTTGCTATAACAGAATTTGTAAAGATTAAATTAGGGCAGGCATTTATTGAGAGTCCTGCTGTGGCATTATCTGTATTGTATGCAGACACATCCCCGGTGACGCCATTGGTCTTTGTACTCAGTACCGGATCTGATCCATTCAGTGCTTTTCAACGTTTTGCAGCAGACATGCAAATGTTGGATAGAATACAGTCTATATCACTAGGACAAGGTCAAGGACCAGTGGCTGAGAAGATGATTGAAACTGGTAGACTACGTGGTGACTGGGTATTCTTACAAAATTGTCATTTGGCTACATCCTGGATGTTATCAATGGAAAGGATTATATTGAAGATTGTTGAGCAAGAAGATAATAGTCCAGTGTTTAGATTGTTTATGAGTTCTATGCCGTCGAAGGCGTTCCCTGTTTCAGTATTGCAAAATTCTGTTAAGGTTACCAATGAACCTCCTAAGGGACTTCGTGCGAATGTTAAACGTGCCTTGGCGGATATGATGGAAGACTTTTTTGATGTCCATCGTAAGTAAACATGCAAATTTATTTATTTTTTCTATAGAAAAAGTGTCTAGCTCTTGGAAGGAAATGGCAATCAATGATTTTTGGTCTCTGCATTTTTCACGCTGTGATTCAAGAGCGTAAGAAGTTTGGCCCACTTGGGTGGAATATTGTTTACGAGTTTAATGATAGCGATAGAGATTTTGCCTTCAATACGTTGAAAATGTTTTGTGCAGAAGGGACAATTCCATGGGATGCATTGGAATATATAACTGGTGAAATAACGTACGGTGGTAGAGTTACAGACTATTGGGATTTACGATGTCTGAAAACTATTCTGAGAGGATTCTTTTCTGCTCCTACTATTGCTCCTGAATATTCATACTCAAGGTCTGGTGTTTACTATTGTCCAAACTATACGAAACTTCGCGAGTTTCGTAATTTTGCTGATAAACTACCAATAATTGAAAAACCGGAAATATTTGGAATGCATGAGAATGCCAACATTGCGTTTCAAATTAAAGAAACCCAAATTGTTATCAGGACTATAATGGAGAGTCAACCCAGAGTGGCAGGAGGTGCTGATGCATTGTCAACAGATACTATAGTTCATGATTTGGCTGAGAAGATTATTGGAAGGATTCTGTCAAACATTAGCACTGACGATGCAATCAATAAACTTTTCATTGTAAATATTGTTTTGGAAAATATTGAGCACTTCTCGTTAATATTGCTTTGCCTTTTAGCGAGACGACAAAGGAAGACTGCCTTCTTTTACCACAGTTTTGATGCAAGAAGTTGATAGATTTAATAAGCTACTAAAGTTGATACATGACTCAATGGCACAATTAAAGAAAGCTATCAAAGGCTTAGTATTGATGTCTGACGCATTAGAGGAAGTCTACACTTCATTTATCAATAATCAAGTACCTAATATGTGGAGTGCAAAGTGTTATCCATCAATGAAGAGTCTAGGAAGCTGGATTCGTGATTTAGAACTACGTTTAGACTTTATATGTGTAAGATTAATTCAAGTAAAGATTAGTTTTTCTTTTAAGGATTAATTTTTCATGTTTTGCAGGTATGGATACGATCTGGCCATCCTACATCTTATTGGTTATCTGGTTTCTATTTCCCTCAAGGATTTCTAACGGGAGCTCTGCAAACACACGCAAGAAAATATAATCTCCCAATTGATCAACTTAAATTTGATTTCATCACCAGGGCATTATTGATAGATCAAGAAGATATTAAAGCTGCCCATGATGAAGCTGCCGGCAAAGAAGACTATAACGTCTATGGGCAACTGGCGGTACCGAAAGATGGTGTCAATGTTCATGGGATATTTATGGACGCAGGACGATTTGATATTAGGGATATGATTCTAAGAGATGCTAAACCTGGTAATTTATTGTTTTATTGGAAAGTAATTTTTTTAAATGAATGTTTTATGTTTAGGTGAAATTAATCCACCATATCCAGTGATGACCTTGATTCCGACAACGAATATGCCTGAAAGAGATCCGCGATATGTATGTCCGCTGTATAAAACATCTGTAAGAGCTGGTACGCTTTCCACCACCGGACACAGTACAAATTTTGTTATTGCTGTTTTGATTCCATCGAATGAAAAACAGAGTTATTGGATACTGAAAGGAACTGCGTTGCTCACTCAATTAACCAATTAAAACGAGCTGAAGCATGTTTTATATGTTGTAAGTTTTTAATTTGTTTTGAAAATAAATGTTGCTGTGTAATCTATCGGATGTGATTGTATTTTCGTGTAAATAATTGCATTGGCATATATATAAGTTCGCACGATGTGTTTTTAGTAACTGACAATCCAAAAATGATTGCTTTACTATTTACTTTGGTGCTGGTGGCCCCGTCCTTACAATTGGGTCCCGCAATGGGTCCAGTAGGAAAAATTAACATTAAGAAATTGCAAGAGTGTCCAAATTTTTCTGGTGGGCAATTAAAAATGCAGTTGGCGAAAGATAGTAAGGGACAGAAAGTATTTAACGCTCAACTCAACCTTCAGGAGGATTATAATAATAAGTATACGGTATTGAAAATCATAAACTGCTTTTTATTGTGATGTTTCATAATTTTATGTTTGCTAGTTCTTAGTTCGAGTACATAAATGGACAGGTTCGGAATACAAGAAGGATATGATGAAGTATGAAGGTGCGGCATGTGATTACATCAATAAGTTTTTGCCTGCTGTGCGTGAGAGAGTTTACAAATTAGCAAAGGTCTCTGGGACTTGTGAAGCCAAAAAGGGCAAATACGATATCAAAGCAATTTTCGCACTTGAAAAAGATTTGAAAGTGCCAGCGTTGCCATATGGCACGTTCCAACTAGAGGTAGAAATCTACAATGCGAAGAAGGCCAAAATTGTATGCCTGGTTGTTGATGTTGATTCTGTCGCAAAATAAATACAAGAATGCATCTTTGAGATACGAGTATTATCTTATAATAATTATGAATAAACTGAATTTTAAAATGAAGTATTGATACATTATCTCTCACTTTTAATTTTATATTCCTTTAGCAGAAAAAATCAATAAATGTAACTAAAGATCTCTTTTTATTTCGAAACAACATACTTTATATTCTCCTGATCAAACATAACTTAGATCTTTCCCCACCACTGTTGTCGGTTTGGCCGCAGGTTTAATAGAGAAACCCTGAACGAACAAAGTAGTTAAGCATGTAAAAATGGTCAAGCTACGTAGTGGTAGGTCTGTGATTATTCTCAGTTAGGGTCGTTGGTTTGGATCGTCCCCAAGGAATGTCCATGAGATATATGCATGTAATTATTTGCTGCGCCCTGGCGTCCCAAATTCCTTTGTTTTATTAATTTCAAACATTAAAAGTAATTAAAAAAGTCTTACTCCAAAATTGCTGTGTTGCGAAGTAATATTCAATATACTTAACTGACCTGTACATTCACATCAGTAGTGTACCCTCAAATTCTTGCACCATTTCTATACCAACCATATTCATCAATTATTATAAACACAACGAAGAATAAATCAGCCACATCAGCTATAATCCAGTAACGTTTTAGGTTTGTTTCAATTTTATTTTACTTAATCTAACTTCGTCTCAGCAACTAATATGAAAAATGCCAACAAACGACTTTTTATATCAATCAAAAGGCACTAAATATAATTCTAAATTTATCAGTTCTACTTTGGTCCCAAAAATGTATTTGCAATTGCATGTCTTGTATAAAGGTAATAAAAGTAATGAAACATAGATAGATCAAACATGGCTAACGTGTGCATGCAATTAAATATGTCATTTTTGGTATATAAAGCTTGTTACCAAAGAATAATTTACATTCAAAGTGTGGTAACCGCCGAACAATGTTTTTTCTACCAGTCTTTGCGTTGTTAATGTTTGCGGTGCCGTCGCTTCAACTGGGTCCTATGATGGGACCAGTGGGCAGGATAGATATCAAGAAATTACAAGAGTGTCCAAACTTCAAAGGGCAGTTAAAGTTGCAAATGGGCAAAAATGCAAAAGGTCAAAAAGTGTTCAATTGTCAACTGAACCTCCTCGATGATTATTCAAAAAAAAATACGGTATTACATATGCTCTTGTTTTTGTTGATAACTTTAATGAATCTGTGGTTGTAGTTCGTGATCCGTGTGCACAAATGGACCGGATCGGAGTATAAGAAGAATATGATGAAGTACGAAGGCTCGCTTTGCGATTATGTCAATAAGTTTTTGCCGACTGTGCGTGAAAGAATTTACGCTGCGGCGAAGGTTAATAGTGACTGTGATGCTAAAAAGGGTAAGTATGTAATGGATAATTTGTATGCAACAGAGAAAGACCTCAAGATTCCGGCGATACCGTATGGGACTTTCCAGCTAGAAGTGGAAATCTACAACGCAAAGAAAACTAAGATTGTTTGCATCCTTGTTGATGTAGATTCTGTAGTTCGATAAGAAAACAATTGAATGGAGTTTAAAATTGCAGTTTTCCGAATATTTTAAAACATCAATTCTTGTTGCCTACACTTGTCCGTGCAATAATTTATCAATGTTAGAAAACAGCATTTTTTTAAATAATTTACTTAAATTTTTTCTATAACCCAAATTGATTTATCTGTCCCTAAGAATTAACGTGATGTGACGCTTTACTAATTGTTTTGTTATTTTAAAATACGTATTTATTCGTTTTTGGTCTTGTCACATTGTAAAAAATATTATTACTGAACACTGAATGGAAGGCTAGTGTATAAAAAAATCTTGTATTGATATTATCTAGTTGCAAATGAGTATTTTTCAAATAAAACATGTGTATTCGTTGCATTCGCATGTGCAAAGTTACACCTATTCGTGACAACTAGATTGGTTGTAACTGATATAAAAACTATGATTTTTATAGTTTTACTGCAATTCCTCATTAGAAAACCAACAATTTAACAATGTTTATTCTAACATTTTTTGCTTTGATAATTCTTGTGGTCCCATCGCTACAGTTGGGGCCGTCAATGGGTCCTGTGGGTAGAATAGACTTTAAAAAAATCCAAGAATGTCCAAAATTTAGTGGACAATTAAAAGTGCAATTAAATAAAAATTCTAAAGGGCAGAAAGTATTTAATTGTCAACTCAATCTAGCAGAAGAATATAACAACAAATTTACGGTATGACACAAGGAGATCCAGGCTTCTTAGTTATTCAATTCTAATTGAGGCATTTTTATGATTGTAGTTTGCAGTTAGGGTTCACAAGTGGACAGGATCGGAATATAAAAAGGACATGATGAAGTACGAGGGCGGAATGTGTGATTACGTCAATAAGTTTTTGCCTACTGTGCGTGAGAAACTTTACAAAGCAGCGAAAGTGACTGGTAACTGCGTAGTCAAAAAAGGCAAGTACGACATGAAAGACGTCTACGCCACTGAAGGAGATCTCAAATTGCCTGCGATACCTTATGGCACTTTCCAGTTAGAAGTTGAACTGTTCAATAGCAAGAAAGTTAAAATTGTATGCCTGTTAATAGATGTTGACTCAGTTGCTCGATAATTGCTTGGATATGTTTGTAAACATTGCATATGTATTCACATAAATAATGATAAATTTGAATCATTTCTCTGAAACTTATTTTATGATTTGAATTTGTGTATTTCACCCCACTTTTCTTTTACCGGTCAGCGGTTTTATTATCTCAGTTTTCAAAGTTTGGTTAACCTGCTCTTACATGTGTTTTCTGTTTTCTTGAGAACAAAATCAAAATGAGTTATCGAGTGAAGTTGTTAATGTGCCATTATTTTCAAGATGATCGTGCATTTACTTACGCGTTCATCCAATCCGAATTCAGTGTTATACAGGATTTAATCAACCACATAACAAAGATGTTCGATATAAAGGATTTCAGTTTGCTATTGCATGGTTTTTACTTGTTACCAGGTGAAGACATAAGAATTATTCAAGCAAATGATGAGATATTGTAAGTGACTTGTATTACTCTGAATATCAATTATCATTTATTAATGTCCATCTTTTAATCAGAATTAAACCAAATCAAGTTCAGCAACTGCCACCAGCTCATCAAGTTGTTGAATCACCTGCAAAGAAAAAGAAACAGAAATCCAAAAGAAAATCTGCTGATTTAGACAATTGCAATGAAGTGAAAATTAAGAAGAGAAAACTATCATCAAAGTTTGAACCAGTTGCTACCAGTTCAACAAGAAAGAAAGACATTGTTGAGTCAAGAGTTCAATATTTTAATAACCTCAGCAATTCCAATGAAAATTCTAATATTGCAGAACATGATGTAGGAACAGAAGTTGTTCCTGAGAAATTGAACAATCAGTTAATTTCACAAGACCTCATCACACCTGCATTAAGCAGCAAAAGCACTAAGAAGAAGAAGGAAAAGAAATTGTCAGAACAGATGGAAATTAGTAATGAAGAGAAAGCATGTGAACTTAATAATATAAAGTCTAATGTTCCACATCAACAATTAATCCACAATGATGATTCAAATGCATTCAAAACTCCTGTTGACAAAATGAACAATTTATCAAATAATGTTCATCCAAAATTAATCCAACACATGACACCCTTAAGGAATATGTTACCCACCACAGTAATTAAGGAAAAGATACACGTAATTCGTAATATTGTTATGAGTCGAGATAAAGATACCATTTTAGAAGAAAACAAATGCAACAATGTGAGTGAAGTGGTGACAAAGAAAAGTGCTGACATTGTGTCAGTCACAACTTCTGATTTAAATGGGAATGCTAATTCTATTGGGGAAAACTCAGATTCAAAAAATGATGAACAAGTGGAAGAGCCTCAAATTTCAAAGCCAGATGAACAAGAGTGTTTGCCTTCAACTTCAACAATTAAAAATGAACGTGTTTCTTTGCCTGTGTCTACAAATACATTAACTGAGGTTCCTGAGGTACAGAGTAATGAAATAATGGATGAAACACCACAAAGAAATTCTGAATGCAAAACCATTTCAACCGCAATTCCATTAAAATGTTCTGAAAAGCGTTTACAATCTTCAATGTCTTATATTCTGTCATCCTTAAAGAGTGACTGTTCATCAACATCAAATTCCATTGATGGAAATGATTGTGAAGAAGTTAAGGAGAAGTTTATCACACGTAGAAAGCGTCACAGAACACGAAAAAATAAACCTATACATAAGGATACTCCAGCTCCAATAAAATTTTCAGATTTTAGAAGGCCCAATATTCAATCAAAACCATTGATTCACCGTTTCTTTGCTGAGGAACCAATTGAAATTCCATCCACTGATACTGAAGAATGTAACAAAATTGAGCAGAAAAGCTCTGATAAACCTGAAAATGTTACAATTCTTGATTTGACCGAGGAAACGCCGGAAATATTTGAAAATCCATTGCCAGTTCCATTGAATGGTCAGAAAAAGTCTTATCTTGACACGAAGCTCGAAATTTGCGGCCAACCGCTTACACAAGAATTTATTGATAAGTTAACTGTAATGAGTAATGTGGTACCAACTCGTGGTGATATTATTATATTTCAGGTAAGATAGTTTCTGTATGTAATTTTTATAATACAATGATTATTTTGTGGTAGATGTTAAAACTGGGATCTAGTTTTACCCCGGAAGTTACGAAGAATATAACTGGTTTGGTTAAATCTTTTGACGCAGAAACAAAACGGGTAGAAATAGATATTTGGGACGGACTATCTGAGCTCTCACAAATTCATGAAGAGTTTGATGAAACAGGTGAAACGGCGATTTTGGATTGGATGTCGTTGGTGAAACCGCGTCGGGTGGCTTAACTAAGTTATTTTATGTTGTACTTGTTAATTCGTGTTGCCATCTTGCATGTTTATTATTTAAGTTATCAATTGTTTAAATATTTGTATCGAAAATATCCGAGCAAAACCGATCCGTTCGTTTACTTTGCATTTAGGTTAGTAATCAGCAGTCATACCGATTTTGTGTGTGATCCACGTCCTCATTGTCCTATGTTAACATAAAATCAGTGAAAACATCGTCAAAATGAATAAATAACCATCATTTATTATCTTTGAAACGTTCCTTAAGATGCGTATAAGTGTTAGTACGATTATTACGTCGTTATTTGCGGCGTTCGTGCTTCATTCCGTGTACAATTTGTATCTGTTATACCGGCCACCTTCGTGCAATGAAAAAGATGTTTGCTACAAGTCCTTCTTGAATTCGCAGCCAAAATTAGAACTTTTGGTGTATTTATCTGATAGCTACAAATCGAATGGCTATCAAAACGTTCTGCACATTCCAGATTTTGATTATAATGAAGCATTCCAAAGGTTAGTTTAATTTGAATAATGTTTATCTTATTTAATAATTATAAACAATATGCAACATAAATTAAGAATGTTTTACTTTTTTGCAGAGATATAAACTTTATAGTGCCTAAAGCAGCACATTCAAATCAATCCATCTATATTCACACATTAATAATTCCAAAAAGACAAATTTCATCTGAAATTACATTTAAAGAAGCTGAAAGCTTGCATGATTCCACACATGTTAAAAGTAAACTTACTAAACATGCAGTCCCAGTAAGTGCTACATTCAACTTGCTGCAAAATGAAAAAATACACATCAAGTCACCGAAAGCAGTCACTCACTTAAAGACTAGATATGCAGTGGTGTTGTGCAATGATGTGGTGGGTATTCCACACTCTGGTGTACCACTGGAGTTACTTAAGTATTTAAGGATTAATCCTAAGAAGCAGTTCTTGCCCATTGTCTCCCAAGACATTCTACAAAGTAGATTAAAAGACTTAGAGGAAGTCACCAAAGAGAAAAAACAAATGATGTTTACCTTCATTTATCAGCCAATCAGTATTGGGAAGTTTAAATTTTTAGTACAAATGGAGACTACTTTTGTCAATTTTATGGAAATGGGCTTCACTACCAAGGATGTAGATGAAGTGAAAGGCGTTTTTGCTGATACAAATTTTTATCTGTTGTGTGCTACCATGACAATAGGGTCAATTCATGTAAGTTTAAGTTTTAAGTGTTTTACACAGTCTAAACAAGTACTTTGTTTTAGTTACTGTTTGACTTTTTATCGTTTAAAAACGACGTTAGTTTTTGGCGATCGCACAAAAGTATGGCAGGATTATCATCGAGAACGGTCCTATGGAGATGTTTCTCGCAAACAGTTGTGTTTTTCTTCCTTTTGGATGAGGGAACGTCATTATTGGTACTAATTCCGAACGGGATAGCAATGATAATTGAAGTAAGATTACAAAATACCGTAAATAACTATGATTCAACTTTATAAAATTTTAGTTTTGGAAGATAACAAAAGTGTACAAATTGAGGTTCGGCCTCAGCGGGATAAAAGTAGATAAAACTTACAAGGAAACTGTTGCGGAACAAACCACGAAAAAATACGACGATGAATCAATGAAGTACTTAAATTATTTACTGTTTCCATTGCTTGTATGTGCAGCGATTTACTCTTTGATATACCAACCACATAAAAGGTAATATTAATTTAAATTTAATAAAACTTTATTAATTGTGTTTTTTTATAGTTGGTATTCATGGACAATCAATAGTTTAGTCAACGCCGTTTACGCGTTTGGCTTCATCTTCATGCTACCTCAACTGTTCATCAACTACAGACTTAAGTCAGTGGCGGCCTTGCCTTGGCGTGCATTTACATATCGCGCTTTTAACACATTTATCGATGACATCTTCGCGTTTATTATTACAATGCCTACTGCGCATCGAATCGCTTGTTTCAGGGATGATGTGGTCTTCCTTGTTTATTTATACCAAAGATGGTAAGAATAATTTTAATAAGCAGCTAGATGAGATTTTTAAAACTATTTTTCTTTTTAGGTTGTATCCTGTTGATAAGACACGTAGTGATGATGGTACCGAAATGTCTGCGGAAGTTGTCCAGGAGCCACAAGAGACTAAGAAAGATAAGTGAACTTAGTTACATGCTAATTAATTTAATTGTTAAATCTATTCTGGCGAAAAAATATACAAAGGGGTATAAAATTTCAAATATTTTCACGTTTCTTCATCATAAAATGCGTAGTAAGATTATGGTGTGTTGAGATTCAAAAAATTTGCCTTCAGGAACGTATCGTAGCCTTTGCCTCTCCATGGCATTTCCTGGAGATCGGATATCTCCGTAAATCGACCTCTCATTTGTCTACAACAAAAATCATATTAAATATTTAATTTAAGACCAAATTAAAAATAATTACCTGAATTGGCAAATCATACCCGCGTATTTTTCTCCAATTGTATTCAAGGTCATGATCTCTTTAATATTTCCACTGTTCAGAACTTTTAAGACGTGTTTTGTATGATTGTCGATTGCGGTTGAACTTTCGATTGATTCCCTCTTCGTGCCATTCAATTTTCTAGGTTTCTTTGGACTTATTTTAGGTTTGAAATGTATTTTAATCTTGCGGGCTCTTGTGCTTTTTCTCAGTTTCACTTTAGGTGACAAAGCAAAGTTTAGAGAATTTCCAAGTTGTGCTGCCACAGCCATTGATTGTCTTTGACTTATTCGCACAGATCGCCGCCTATTCTTCATCGGTGATGGGCTTTTAAATATCGGCGATGATGCAGCAATTGACTTTTTCGCCCTCTTTACGCGTTTCATCGGCGTGAAAGGTTTTTTAAAGCCTGGTGTTTTATTACCAGATATTATAAAGCTCGCACGACCCGTATCACCGGCGTCAAACGACTCAGCCAAATATCCATAAGCCGCTTGATTTTTTTCCGGAGTTGTATCATCGTCATCAATGCAACACGCGCTTGTATCTCGGTTGCTATTAATTTCATTTCGAAATGTCTGGAATTCACTTGCGAGTAATATATTGTTGCGCACAATTTTTGTGACTTCGCGCTCTAGGGAACGTCGTGAAATACGTGGTGAATTTACACGACCCGCCATTGGTGTGATAATATCAGTGACGATATTCGTAACGCGCTTCAAGAGAGTTTCACCAACAGCATCCATGCATTTCTTTACAATCGGCGAGAGAGTATTCGGTACTTCAGGCAATATTGACATTGACGAATATGATGGAAGACTAGCTTCAGCAGTGGATAAACTTGATACAGAATTGAATTTTGAGAGCGGTCGTTTCCGATGGGTATTGTAAGAGTGCGAGTTTAAAGGCGTTCGATATGTTGTAAATTTGTTCGGGGTGCTTGCAGTTAATTTATACGGCGTGTTTCTAACTGCTATATGAGGATTGGATGATTTCTAAAGTAAATGATAAATTAAGCGTGTCGATAAATAATTTTTGATAAATAAACTTTAAATTTTCTGAACTTACTGTGTATTCGTCTACTATATTATTAACCTCCGGTTTATTTCTAACTCGTTTTGCTCTCTGTGCGAAGTCCAGGGTTTGTACTGTTTCAGTCAAATCTTCAATGTTTGTTCCAATACAAGCCACCAATGTTACGTAATTCTTCTTGTTTAACGAATCTAAATGAGTAACAAATGTTAGAATGTAATAATTGCCGGTCTTGTTTATGTTGTTTACCTTGTAAAATAGTTGTTATCGTTGATTCTCTGTAGGGGACATGTGCGTGATTATTTGAGAGTGCATTTATTACCTTCCCAATCCACAACAAGCCTTTATTAATATTTATTCCTTCATGAAGCTGACTTCCTTCATTTCCAGTCTTTTTCACACTCTCAGATCCAGCTAGATCAACTAGATTTAATTTTGCTTCTGTTTCCTTTCCACTAAAATAAATAGAAATCCATATTAGACAATGGTGCATATTTGAGTTTCAATTAATTTTCTCTTCATTTCTTTTGTAAAACCCTTAATATTTAATAAACTCTAGTTTAAAAGAATACTCACAAATGTTTAACATGGCAATAAATTGTAAAAATAGCATGTGATCTTGAACTCTTTGAATTTTGTTTAGTTTCCCCTGTGTGCCTATTCTTGCCACCTTCAATTAACAAAAGCTGTGCATCCAGTGGAGTACAAACCTTCTGTTTCTTTACTCCATGTACATTGAATCCTTTAATTTGCAGTGCAGATTTGTTGTTGCCCAATAAATCATACACCTTCTCATTGTATATTTCCACAAATGAAATGAATGTTGTAATGATTTGCTCTCCATTCCAAGACAGAATATCATTCAATGCATTGGTTATCAATCCAGCATCACTTGCATTAAAGTCAGAGTGGTCTGAGCCAATGGTGTATGTTTTGCCCGTGCCTGTCTGCCCATAGGCAAATATTGTTGAATTGTATCCATTGATTATGTTTCTTACTAAAGGCTGCAGCATTTCATTGTATACATTTTCTTGTGTGCTGTGTTCTGGGAAGATGTGGTCAAATGAAAATGATATTTGGCGCTCTGGAACCACAATTACCTGAAACAAAAATATAATTCTGTATATCAATTCTGTGGAGATTAAAATAATAAAATACTTACTGGCGGGTCAGTAGATACAAGTTCAATTGATTTGCCATTTGTGTTTTGGCATGGCTTGATTCTGATTGCAACATTCACAAAATCCATCTTTTATGTTAAAACAACGCGCACAATCCGAAGGCAGTCAGTGATAGCACAATAAAAATATAAAAGATATTATTATATAAATCTAACTAGTGCATTTTAAATTAAATTAATCTATTCATGATACATCTTTCAAAACCAACCGTCAACGGTCAACCAAACGTTAGCGGGGTTAACAGCATTTTTGAAATGCGCATGCGCAATTCATTTGAAATATTTTTATCAGGAAGCGCGCTTCTTATTTATTTAATAACCATTAAATGAACGATACAAATAGTGTATTGTACCTATGTATGAAGAGAAATCAAATTAATTCATATACTTGTGTATATAGATTTAATGGATTAAACCTAAGTTGAAGATGTTCTTTTAGTGCAATATCATAACAATAAACGATAAAGACGAAAGCAATTTCGAATGCAATGTACAAAACTATTTGATAAGACTAAAGTTGGCACACCTAAATGAATCTACCTAGTTTAGTTCACACAGTTTAACTTATTTCTTTCCAATATGTTGGTGCCACAACACATGTGCATCGATTCTAAAGATCTAACCTATTTGTGGTCTATCAAAAATTTATGTGAACATTATTAAATGAAAAATTAACTGCGCATAATTACTCTTTGTTTGTGAATGTAAAATTAAAGTACAAATATGGAGGGATTTAGTAAAAACAATGACAAAGGTTTCAGTATTATGGTATATCTATGTGATATTAATTTTGACTTGCTCTGCTATAATTCTTTGTGAATATGCAGGTGAAAATGGGTTACAAACCTGGTGCTGGGCTAGGAAAAGATGAGGCAGGAATGTTGCAGCCCATAAATGCCTCTGTAAAAAATGATAAGAGAGGCTTTGGTCATGATTCATTCAAAGAAAACCAAAGTCATGAAGTTTGGGATGGCAAAGATGTAATTAGGTATAAAAGTGATTCAAGTTTTGTTTCATTACAAATTATTTGTTGTAGAAAATTAATATTGAAGAGGAATTAATTTGGATTCATTCAAATGATTCAAATGCTACACATCAATTTTCCAATTTAACTTTAGATGATTTTCTTAATTTTATTGTTAAGAAAGAACCTTTGACCACTTTAGAGAATGAAATTCATTTTTGTGATCCAGCAACTTTAAGAAGTGTTCTTAAAACAAAAGTAAGTAACTGTTGTATGTAGGTACTTAATATTCTTTCAAAATTTTCAATATATCATATTTTAGGAAGATGTATTTTTAACTTTAGATGCAGTAGATCTATCAAAAGCTAGGCAGAGAGCAAATCAGTTTGAGACAATCAAGTCAGCATTTTTTATGAACAGGGCAGCTTTAAAGATGGCTAATATTGATGCAGCCACTGGTTTTATGTTCACCAACATTGATAAAGATGTAAACATTTCATTCTTCTACTTCATTTGTTTTAAATTCAATTTATAATTTTAGATTAATCATAAAAAGAAAGTTGGTCCATATTATTTTGCAGATGTTTGTGCAGGCCCTGGAGGGTTTTCAGAGTATATTTTGTGGAGGAAAAAATGGAGTTTTAAAGGATTTGGCCTTACATTGAAGGGAGTGCATGATTTCAAAGTATGCAACTCAACATGTGCAAGTGATGTAACTTTTAGAGGATATTATGGTTCCGCAAATGATGGGAATGCATGCAATCCTTGTAATATTAGTGATTTTACTAATAAAATTTTGCATGAGACTGATAAAATTGGGGTGCATTTTATGATGTCTGATGGGGTAAGAGTTTTCTCTCTCAAAAGAGTGTTAATTACATTCGACTGTTTTTTGTAGGGGTTTTCTGTTGAAGGTAACGAAGGCATACAGGAAATTCTGTCCAAACAGATCTACATTTGTCAATGTTTGATTGCGTTGGAGATTGTTAGAAAACACGGTCATTTTGTAACGAAATTGTTTGATATTTTTACTACTTTTAGTGTGGGGTTAATGTTTTTGATGTATCAATGTTTTGAAAAAGGTACTTTTTTATCTTTTGGTATTGGCGAAATTGTACTTACACAGTATTTTAATATAGTTGCAGTATTAAAACCGAATTCATCGCGTCCAGCAAACTCAGAACGATATTTCATATGTAGTAATTTGAAAGATTCACCGATCGTTATGGAGGTTCGAAATTATCTACGTAAAATTGTAAATGATCTGTGGAATATGCGCAAAGTTAGGAAAGAGACCGACGTGGATATCGTCGAGATTATACCATTGGAATTAATTAAGGGTGATAGTACTTTTTATAATTATATACGATCGCAAAACACTAAGTGAGTCTTAAATCAACTAGTTTTCTATAACATGATTTTAATTAATATTTTTTTAAATTTGTCTTTAGAATAGCAGAGGTGCAAACAGAAAGTTTACGTAAATTGGCATTGTTCTGCAAAAATCCAAATCTCATTGATGAGAAGCAAGTGCAATTACGCTCTAAATGCTTAGAATATTGGCATATTCCTAACTTACCTAGAGCACCAGCTAAAAAGTTTACTACTGATGATCTTTTAAATATTGCTATTCAAAAACCAGGTAAAACATCAGTTTCACGTCTGTTTTCATTTGAAATATCTTCAAAAATTGATTTTTAGAGTATTTATATGTTCAATCAAGGATAATTAAAAATTTAAAGGAGTTGCAGGAACAAGTTGTTGATGTGCACGACTGGATTTACGTACCATTGGCATCTTCAATGATGAGCAACAATTGTCACATTTTTGCAGGTAACTTTCTTCAAATTTGTAACAGTCCGCATTTTCTTGGTTTAAATTCTAGGCGTTGGTGCAATGTCTGCGTATAAACTACAAAATCGGAAGTGGGTAAATGTTAAGGGATTGAAATTAGTGAAAGGAACTTTGCTGTTTGGTGAAATTGTGACTGAAATATCATCTCAGGCAGAAACAACAGAAAAACTTGAAGTGAAAACATTGCATGTAATCGACGCACTGCGATTGGGAGACATCAGTCTGGCGGATTTAGATTTTCAAGAACGAAGTGTGCTGATTCAGACATACTGTAAATCTATTAATTTTGAAACGGCCGGCGATCAGTTCCGCATCAGGCCGAAGCTAAGCGATAAATTGATTAACATTCATGCAAATAGCCTTATCCATTATGCATTCATTGCGAATGCTTTGTATACGCATTTACCGACGCTTGGATATGGCGCATTTCGTGAACACTTTATTGTCAATTCGATATTGTTGCTAAAAACAGGCGAAAGTAAGTAAAGTTATTTATATCTGATATGATTATATGTGATATTGTATAATTTTTAGATCACTTCTTTAATACCACATATGTGCTAAGAACTCAGGTGTTCTTGGAAAAATCAAATGATGAAGAAAAAACTGAGGACTCTCTACAATATGATGCGGTACTCCAGTATGTAAAAGATAAATTATGATTGATTGATTGATTGAGTGATTAAGTCAAGAAATTGTCATGTTTACAGTCGAAAATATGTGTGTATATTTGATATTTCTTAATAAGTTTTGATTAAAGTGTATTTCATTTTAATTTCCGCCGGTTTTTTTGTTCAAATTTCACGATGCATTTTCCAAGTTCGCCCAGCTTAATAAGATCTTCGGAAGAAGAACAAAATTTGTTTTTGGATCGTCCTAAGCGAGGTAAATCTGAAGAACAACTGCGAAGACATTCACTGCAGGAATCCGTTGAGAACAAACCCATCGAACGGTCGTTGTTTATTCTGACGTAAATAATATTATTATTTTCTTCAGAAACTGATACTAAATGTGTATGAGTAGGCGAGGAACTCCGCAAGTAGGTTTTTAAATTATAATAAATAGTTCCTATTTCAGTCGAAATTAAACTTGATTGTATTTTACGGTTATACCGGTGACTTTTGTTTTACCGTTTGTACAGTAAGTGGGCACCTTAGTTGAGGCACCCACCTACACATATATACTTAATCTATGCACCTTATGTACATCTTGAACAGTTGCGCTAGTGCGCGCTCTGCGTACGAAAGAAGCTTGTTTATTTTCGCATTCGCTTACCGCTCGCGAATTAATTTCAGTAACATGTAGGCAGTGATACCTTGAGACTCTCAACATGGAGCAGGATGTGCAATTAGACTGTGTGAAGAGTGTGAAAGTTGATGTGAGGCTTCTCGAAGATTTGTTGTGCGTTTTAATACTCCTAACCTATGGTAATGCGACATAAAACTAGACTTAAGTACTATGACTTCCTCTCTGTTGTAGAATGGGCGACGATGTACAGAAAATCAGCGTCATTCATGACCTGCCACAACTAATCATGCTCGACTCATCGGCCGTTTATAATCGAATAATTCCAAAGATAAGACACAATCTCCCCACTGCATCATGTGAATTCCAAATAGCAACAAGTGCCGTTTTCATGTTACTCCTTCAGAGATCAGCCAACACTGCCATTTTGCAGTCTATTATTCAAGGATTAGATGCAAAGGATCCAAATGTCGCTTTTGCTTGGTCAGAGGCATTATATGGCTCAATGTCAAGCCTTCCAGAACTCATGATTCAGAATTTTCTGCTACCTTTGGCGCGCCAGAAATTTCAACCTAACTCAACTGTGATTTCAAAAGTTTTCTGCAGCAGACTTATAGGGGAGATATGTTCCAACACCAAATTTCGAGTACTTGAGTTAATGATTTTTTACTGCTATTTACTTGAAATGTAACTAATTTTAAAATTACAGTGTAAAAAGAGATATTTTACCAATTGCAATAGGACTTTGCCAGGATGGTCATCCAGAGGTGAGGTCTCAAATGTGCATGTTTTTACCCAAAGTTGCAGCAGTACTTGGCCATGATTGGGAGAAAACTAATTTGTTATCCTGTATTGTGGATCTAGCGCAAGACGAAAATTTAAACGTACGCTCTACATCAATCATTGCGATCACATCCATGCTCAAAATATTAAGCCAAGGTAGATATTTATAAGAAATACTTAATTAACTCTAGTGTAAACTTTCTTTGACTTTAAGAAACCAGCAGGACTACACTGTTACCACTAATTAAAAAATTGTGTACTAAGGCATGCGAAGAATCATTAGTCACTGCATTGATTCTCTCTGATGAATTTGGCGCATTAATGCATGAAATGCCTCCCATCAATGATCAAGACGTCTTATTTTTTGTACGCATATACAAGCAATTGTCCCTAAAAGGCAAACAAATATCAGCAACAAAAGCGAATGCATCTATTGAAGTATCAATTCGCCAAAAATGTGCAACTAACATTTATGGGATCTTGAAACTTGTATTGCAATCGTTACCAGCGCAGGTACCAGAGGTATATGGTTCTTTTCGTGATCACGCGATAGATCCTTGTTATTTGGTACGAAGAGCGGCCGCTGGAGTCCTAGCTGACATTGCGAACTTGTTAGGAAATGAAAATATGATGATGAGGAACGAAATTGTCCGCTTGTTACGCGATGATGCCGTTGAAGTTTTGGATGCGGTTGTACCTACAATATCATCACTTTTTACAAGTCTAGTTGGTTCAGGCGCGATATCATACGCGCAGTCAACGCAAATTTCAACGGATTTATGCAAAGCTTTAATAAAATGCCAAAACGAACTTGCAAAGCGATACAATTGGCGTTTGAGCGTTGAATATTTGAAACAGTTGGAGATTTTACCCACTTGTGTTCCAGGTGATTATATTCACAACAATTTCACGCCGACTATGTTTGATAAATTGATCTATGGGGTAAGATATATCCACAAACTACTAATGATATTTAATTAATCATGTACGGTATTTAATTTTGTGTATGTTTTTAGAAAGCTAAACCAATAAGAATTCAAGCTGCGCGCACACTGGTTGTTTTCATGCGTTACAATTTCCAACCGAATCAATCGAAATGGATTCGTGAGTCTTTGATTAGACAAACAGCTCAATCACGCAACTGTCACGCTCGGATTTTGTATTTTTACGTGTGTGAAGCTGTTCTCTCAGTATTCAGCGAGAAGTTTTTCAAGGAATGGTTTCTGGGTCCGTGTTTGGCTCTAGCCACAGACCAAATTGTCAATGTTCGGTGGAAGTTTATGCAGTTCTCGTCCAGATTAAAGTCGATGGTAACGCTTGCGAACGATTTAGGCACGAAGCAGAAAATATTGGATAGTGTCAATAAGCTTGAGTCGCGCGAGAAGAACAGAACTGTTCTAGAAATAATTCGGAGCAAGAAACGGGAAGCGGTGCCGAAGTATGCACCGGAGGCACTCCGAGAGGAAGCACTTCGCGTAAGAGGCGAAGGGACAACGAATATAATGAAATATGGATATGATGTAACTAACAAACCGACAAATACTGCTAATTTGCCTAGGGTAACCACAGCGCCCGCACCGTAAGTTGTGTTATTATTTTTACATAGTGTAATTAAGTTGAATGTTTTTTTTTTATTGTTTGTAGTGATATGCGCTTTCTCGCACAACATTTTTACATTGACGCAGGAATCAAATTAGAATCAATTATAGGAAACGAAATTACTTCGAAACATGACACACACGCATCTTTAGATCCAACAGACTTGATTGCTATTGAAACATGCAACATCACTGACGATGCAAAAGCGAATAAAGGAATTTCAAAATTGATACCACCGACATCGTATTGTTCGTTTTTCGATTCGCTTGCTTGTGGTGATATTCGAAGCAAACGATTTTCTAGTATTATCTCTGCGACTTGCTTGGAAACACAGAAAGCAAATCACAAATCGAGTCAAAGGCGACACAGTTTAAATCTGAATAATTATTGTGACAGTAAAATTCCGATTGCAAATCGTTTTAAATCTTCGACTATCACTCAAAATGCAACCAAAGAGGAAAAAATCGAAAATGATATTAATTCCAATGCGCGTACCTCGGCTTATTGTAAAGTAGGGGTTGAACCAAAAATTAAACATTTTTCACTGTTACCATTAGATGAAAGGTAATTGAAACGTTGTTTTGTGCTTAAAATGACTGATTTATATATTGTTTTCCTTGTTTTTGTTATTAGAAGACGGAGTGCGGCCAAGCCTGCGGGAAAAAAGCCTCCCAGCAGAAAATCAACTTAAAAATACTATGTTAAAATTACAGTCTGTTAAATATACGTATTTGGAAATAAAGGTGACCTGTACTTTTAGTATATTGTTTCAAGGCAATAATTTTTCTTCCGGCTGAATTTATATTTTTTGTGTAAAAATGCTTACACCTTTAGTTTTCCACTGCCCTTTCAACATAAAAAGTTTAATTTGTACGTACTTAATGAATTGTCTTATGTTTTCTGCACAAAATGTACAATAGGGCTTGTTTGTTTATAAACAGTTTTTTCTTATTGCGTTCAACGAACGATAGCATCGCGCTGCGCGTTGTTGTGCCGCTAGCGCTGCAGGCTGCATGCGATTCAGTCTGTTCTTATCGCCGGTTGGTTCGGCCACGTTCCTCGCGGTTCGGCTTGTCTCTGAGATTCTTATTCGGCAAATCGATTAATTGGCGGCATTTACTGTTAACGGGCTCGTATTTTGCTAATGAAGTTCCGCGACTGACTTAAATGTGCATGAATCGTAAAATATTGTACTCTGTTTATCTGTGCGCGAGTGAGGTTCCGGCGGCGGTCGCTTATTATTCGATTCAGTCACAGTTGGAATTATATTGCTGCTTTCCATTTTGGACTAATAAAAACTACGTCAGGGCATCCTAGTAAGTAACCTAAACCGAGAAATTGTCGGAGACCACACAAATTGAATCCTACAGTCTAGTTCGTCGGGTGCTGGTATTTATGTTTCTTTGAATAGCATGTAATTCGTATGATTTTATCGTTAGCTTCGACGGTTGTCGAATTTGTGACGGTCTGGTTTCTATTTAACAAATTGCAGAGAACAAACGCGGTTCTAATAAATTAAGGTTATTACATACAATTAAACTATCCTTCGGACCAATTCTGGCCGTAAAAATCGCTACGATATTCTTTCCTATTGGTTAATTCACACGTGTTTCATGCGACTAGGCACCACATTCCCCAACGGAAATCGATTTATATTCAATGTGTCGTGGATGATGTTCACTGCCAGAGGATGGTTCCCCTTTTCTCCAACTTAAACTTTAGAATATCCTTTAAAATCTTGCTATTTTCTTGTATCACTGTATATTACATTTTTTTCATCTGCAGTAAAAATTGTAGAAATATTGTTACTAACGAGCGATTTTATTTTAGAACTACAAAACGCAATTGTTCTCTTCTCTACCACCCTATCTGAGTTATCCTGAATATCCAGCAAAACATTTCTTTTGTACTGTACTTATTTAAGTCTTGTACCTTTCTTCGTTGTTCCCCATAGATAAAACCTATAGTTTTCAGTGTTTCTTTATCAAAAATTTTCAACACCCGGTATATTTATTTTCCTTTGGTCCTTTGTATACGGGAGAAAATTATCATAACTCATGATTTTCGGGTGTCTATTTATAGCATTTTATTATCAGTTTGCAACACACTGTATGTTTTTTTTTCTTAATCTCTAGTAGAAAATTTAAAATCGAGTTTTGGTAATGTCGTGTGTATTCTTAAGCGTTTTTCTGAGGCGATCTTCAATTAGTGCGCGCGTGACCTGCCGTCGCATAATTTTCAATTTACGGATTATTGAATTGGGCACAATGCAATAAAATTCAGGTAACGCCTTCGCCGCCTCTCAAAATGCTACCCAAACGCACTAAAAATTGACTTCAAAATTTGGCAGTTTTCAATATTGTTCATTTTTAATCTTGGAAATTGGTTCTTATTTTGGGAACGATTTGCATTATTGCGGTGTTGGGAGTCATTTTAAAATTCTACCCAAATGCACTAAAAATTGACTTCAAAATTTGGCAATTTTCAATATTTTTCATGTTATGTCGTGAAAATTGGCTCATATCTCCGGAACGGTTTGCGTTGTTGGGGTGTTCTTTTTTGCTATTGTTGAAAAAGAGTCATTTTAAACGATACGCATTTGATACCCCCCGAATTTGGCCGGGAGCACCCTCAAAATTGACTTCAAAATTAGGCAATTTTCAATATTCTTCATGTATCGTCGTGGAAATTGGCTCATATCTCGGGAACGGTTTCCATTATTACGGTGTTCTTTTTTATTATTTTAGGAGAAGAGTCCTTTTAAACGATACGCATTTGACACTCCTGGAATTTGGCCAGGAACACTTTCAAAATTGGCTTCAAAATTAGGTAATTTTCAATATTTTTCATGTTTTGTCGTGGAAATTGGCGCATATCTCAGGAACGGTTTCCATTATTGTGGTGTTCTTTGTAGAAAAAGAGTCATTTGAAGCAATACGCGTTTTAAACCCCCCGAATTCGGCCGCGAACACCCCCAAAATTGACTTCAAAATTAGGTAATTTTCAATATATTTCATGTTTCGTCGTGGAAATTGCTTCATATCTCGGGACCGGTTGGCGTTGTTGGGGTGTTCTTTTTTTATTATTGTAGAAGAAGAGTCATTTTAAACGATACACGTTTAACACCCCCCAAATTTGGCCGGGAACACCCTCAAAATTGACTACAAAATTAGGCAATTTTCAATATTTTTCATGTTTCGTCGTGGAAATTGGCTCATATCTCCGGAACGGTTTGCGTTGTTGGGGTGTTCTTTTTTGCTATTGTTGAAAAAGAGTCATTTTAAACGATACGCATTTGATACCCCCCGAATTTGGCCGGGAGCACCCTCAAAATTGACTTCAAAATTAGGCAATTTTCAATATTCTTCATGTATCGTCGTGGAAATTGGCTCATATCTCGGGAACGGTTTCCATTATTGCGGTGTTCTTTTTTATTATTTTAGGAGAAGAGTCCTTTTAAACGATACGCATTTGACACTCCTGGAATTTGGCCAGGAACACTATCAAAATTGGCTTCAAAATTAGGTAATTTTCAATATTTTTCATGTTTTGTCGTGGAAATTGGCGCATATCTCAGGAACGGTTTCCATTATTGTGGTGTTCTTTGTAGAAAAAGAGTCATTTGAAGCAATACGCGTTTTAAACCCCCTGAATTCGGCCGCGAACACCCCCAAAATTGACTTCAAAATTAGGTAATTTTCAATATATTTCATGTTTCGTCGTGGAAATTGCTTCATATCTCGGGACCGGTTGGCGTTGTTGGGGTGTTCTTTTTTTATTATTGTAGAAGAAGAGTCATTTTAAACGATACACGTTTAACACCCCCCAAATTTGGCCGGGAACACCCTCAAAATTGACTACAAAATTAGGCAATTTTCAATATTTTTCATGTTTCGTCGTGGAAATTGGCTCATATCTCCGGAACGGTTTGCGTTGTTTGGGTGTTCCTTGTTTGCTATTGTTGAAAAAGAGTAATTTTAAAAGATACGCATTTGATACACCCCGAATTCGTCCGGGAACACCCTCATAATTGGCTTCAAAATTAGGTAATTTTCAATATTTTTCATGTTTTGTCGTGGAAATTGGCTCATATCTCGAGAACGGTTGCGTTGTTGGGGTGTGCTTTCTTTATTTTTGTAGAAAAAGAGTCATTTTAAACGATATGTATTCGGCAGCTTTTGAATTTGGCCGACAACACTTTCAAAATTGGCTTCAAAATTCGGCAATTTTTAATAATTTTCATGAACTGTCGTGGAAATTGACTCATCTCGGGAGCGGTTTGCGTTGTTGCGGTGTTCTTTTTTGTTATTTTAGAAGAAGAGTCACTTTAAACGATATGCATTTGACAGCCCCCGAATTCGGCCGGGAATACTCTCAAAATTGACTTCAAAATTAGGCAATTTTCTATATTTGTCATGGGTTGTTGTGGAAATTGGCTTATATCTCGGGAACGGTTGCGTTGTTGGAATGTTCTTTTTTATTATTGTAAAAGAAGAGTCCTTTCAAACAATACGCATTTGACATCCCCGGAACTCGGCTGAGAACACCCTCAGATATGGCTTCAAAATTAGGTAGTTTTCAATATTTTTCATGTTTTGTCGTGGAAATTGGCTCATATCTCGGTAAAAGTGATTTGTATTCAGGGCGTACGAGGGTAGTGGTAAAAGTAACTCGTATTCAGGGCACCATAAGAGGGTAGCTGTATAAGTCTTCTTCATCACCCTGTATTTAAATTTAATACGAGATAATTTCGTAACGTGAGTTATGTTAAAAATTGTGTGTGTGCGCCCTAGTACTCGTTGCGCTAGAAGTTGTAGTTCTTTTGAAATAACACGCGAACGCAGTGTCTCAGAATTTAATTCTCTATCACCCTGTATTTAAATTTATTTGCGAAATAATTCTTTAACGTGAGTTATGGAAATTTGTGGATGTGTGCAGAATAGTGCAGAACTTATATTGACACAACTTAATATTGCCTCTATCGGGGTTTGTGTATAAACAACTTTTTTATCGCTTTGAACCAGTTCTATGCTGAGTGCACGCTAGGAACGTTCGATCGTTTCAGGCTGTTCCTATCAGCACGCGGCGGTTCACCTTTCTTCTTTTCATTACAATTCAGTGAAGTGCATTACGTTTTATGGATTAAAATCAGCACCTAATGATCATAGATGTGTATTGGGTTTAGCCATTAATTTGTACGCTGAACATTTACAAAACTTGTGTCTTCATTTGTGTGTTAATGGTCCATCGGCCTTTGGATTAGTTCGATGCTGAGAATATGAATTGAAATTATTCATACTTCTGTCAATTACCAGAACGTATAATCATCGTCTGTCCTCGTCAGAATGTAACATTTTCTGTTATATCCGAAATATTACTTGTAATGCAAGTCTATTATCCGACAGGATGGACTTTATTAGCACGCAGAGTAGTGCGAGTTTTCTTTTGTTTCAGTGTATTCCTAGATTACCTGATGCAGGGGTAAGTTTGTAAATATTACATCATTATTACATTTTGCTTTTTAATCGCGTGTAGTGAAGGTATCGATATATAATAGTTTAAAATTGTCGCGTGCCATCGGATACATTTTTGGCCTCGCTGAAAAAGTTGGTTTTACTATCTTTATTAATCTCACATTTTTCTGTTGTTTTGCAATCTTTATTCTGTAATCGCGTTGATACGTCTAGTAGTTTTACAATTAATTACTGTCCGTAAAATGTATGTAATACGCGATTTCAATGTTTTCTTCCTCGTGTGCGTGCCGTCGGCCGACACTTTGTCGGGAGATTGCGTCGCAAATATAATCTCTTAGTGGCATTGTTGTTGTGTTACCTTCTCTTGCATTTCCTTCGATTTCCACTGTGAAAATTGTTCTCCTTCGAGAATTTTGAGGTTTATTATTATATGTAGAGATTTTCTTCTTGTGTCACCCTATATATTGCATTTTCCTGCTCCCTTACCAAAAGTTGATCAACCTTGTTAATTCCTGATATTTTTTGCTTGATGTGAGAATTTTCTTTTTAAATATTGTCATTTTCGTTTGACAACACCCTGTATATTTGTTTTGTTTGATTCCCAATCAATCCTTGACCAGTTTTTTGTGTTCGGGTGTTTTCTTTCTTAAACTTACGATTTTCTTTTTGCAACACCCTGTATATTAGTTTTCCGTGATAAATTGCTATTTTCTGGTACTTGTGTGTTAGTGTTTATAATTTGGTATTTGTCTGTATGCGCGCGATTATGCGGGTCGTAAGACTTGTTCCAAAATGGCGACCTGAATTGTCTATGTATTTTACATGCTTGTATTGAATTTGTAAATAAAGAATCTCGTATTAATGGAGGTTATGACTGACATCATTTGTGCACCCCTTCTATCATTTCAGGTCCAGGTCAGAACTTGTAAAAATATTTTTAATATTGTATTCTATTGTTATAAAAGAAACAGTAAAATATATTGACTTCTTTGATTTGTGTACCCCCTCTATCATTTCAGGAAGAGTTCCCTCTCTCAGGGGATGATCTCCACTATAAAAATTGCTAAGGTATCCTGTATGATTTGTGTACTCCTTCTCTCATTTCAGGTACAGGTCAGAACTTGAAAGAATGTTTTTGAGTGTCTCCTCTCTTGAGGTGACTTAAAACTTAGAAATATTTTTATAAGTTCTTAAAAGGATGTCCTTATAAGGAGTTCTCCCACTCGGGGGATGATCCCCCACCATAAAAATTGTTGATATGCCTGATAATTTCGGGGATGAAGCGCAGAGACATCGTAGCTGTAGGATGGGCCGGGAGCAATGGACGCATCGAAGCAGTGGGCGATCGACCAGAGCGCCTGCGGCGCTCTGGGAGAGCGACCTTAGGCTGTCTAACGACACGGGCCAAAAAATTTAAAAATCTGATCTACTCCTGTTGCTCTTTCTTCTATCTCCTCCTCTTCTCTACTCTACTATTTGTTCTCTTCTTTCTATCTTCTCTACTACTCCTTCTTCTTCTATTTCTCTGTTCTCCGTTTCTCCACTTGCTGCTTTCTTATTTCTCATATTGCCTTCACTTGTATTTCGTTGCAATTCATATATGCAACCCAAATTACACCTGTTATTTTTATATTTGAGAAAAATGCCTGCTATACCTGAGATTCGATCCGTGTCTACTAGCATGCTAGCAGGTGCACGTACCCACTCGACCACCGAGTGTTTTTATCATTGTTAAATGATTCTTCTATTTATGTTTCTAGCTTATTCAACTTTTAAAAACAACAACAGAACACAAACAACAGCTACATATTGTACCCGCTTGGCGCACTTAGGAGATATTTATTTAAAGGAGATAAGGAGCATCGCAATATTTAGGTAAGAAGTTGTAATTAAAAAGCATTTAATTTGATATCAGGTTTTTATTAAGGTGATACATTTAAATTTATTAAAATATATAGTTACATGTAATAACATATTAATATCTTGCGTTTCCAATAATATTTTGACAAATTAGTGCAATATTTCAATATTAACATCCTTCATTCATTCTCATTTCCGTTTGTACATCAACAAATAATACAAAAATACCAAATAACATTGAAATATCGCACGATTTCACATTCAGAAACATATATTAATAATTTGTTTGGACTAGTAAAATCACATTACCTATCGATAAAATATTTTTCTCCAATGAAATTTGGCAATCCATGAGTACTAATAAGTATGTCCCAATCAATTATGCTTTGCCAAAACAAGAGTTCACATTTATACTTTGAGTAATTTCGTCTGCCTTAATACACATTCATGATCCTCATTAATATAACTAAGTCGCGTATCATTTATGAAATGATATGTGACTGACACCTCCTTTATATAAATAGAAATTGGTAATAAATAGTTCTATTTTAACACGATATTATATTTGTTTTGGAATGACATCTTCCTAATTTTCACTGATTAACGGTGAAAATATTGACGGTATACTGCTGCGCTTTAGATGTTTATACACATGTTGTAGGAGTCAGATCGTTTAGTTTAAAAGTTTGCTAAAGAAAATTCGTTTATGAATCAGTGATTTATATAAAACAAAAAATTAAAATAAAACGCGATTGAAAATTATACATAATTACAAAGTGCTTACACAATCACTAAAATTAAACAACGTTCCAGTAGATATTTACAATAAGAAATTATTTGTTAAAATCAGGTACTTTTCAAGGTGGTTAATTCCGTCAGTTTTTATACAATTAAAAATTATTGAATCAACACCAGTACCTTTTGTACAATTGTCGGCTAATATCGAAAATTATATCAATTACATGAGTATTGTTTTTGGCTGGGGAACATCTACTTGAAGATATGGTTTCAGACGTGATCCCAATGCTTGCCTTGGAGGAGTAAACTCTTCAGACCGCAGACACCTGAGTTTCTTCATCATCTGGGGAACAAAACAACGATTACTTACTTGTAAATCATTTACATAAGTTGATAATCAAATAACTCCGATGTGTGTCAGTAAATTTCCCCTACCATGGTGTGAGAACATTAAACAATAACTTACAAATACTTACAAATCATAATTGCCAGTTAAATCAACGAGAGACGATACGAACACATAGTAGTAACTTAATAGCAGTTAAAGCAAAAAGTGCAAAGCACATCACACGTCTATTTCATCGGGATTTGTTTCAGTCTTTAGTCAGTTTTCGTATAATAAATATTTAGTCGGTCACACCATTATAATAACTGTGTCATAGTCAGCGGTCGATGATGGATAGTCAGTCAAGACGTCACCTAGGACAGTATTAAAACGGTCAAAAAGTTTTAGTCCAAGTTTCAAATTATTGCCGTCATTGTAAGGTGTGTGAGTCGGTGCGGATGTGTGCAAAGAGCAAATATTTAAGGTGGCTGATATGAGTTTGAACGTGAGGTGCTTTCAGTTCTCGTCGCAGCGTACGTACCGTGATCGGTGTCAGGGTCCGTATGATAATGGTAACCCTGGGTGACTCCTTCATGGGAATGTGCTCGCCCTAATCTATTCAAACGAGCCATTTGAGCAGCCACGCTATAAGCCGGAGGTTGTCGTCGCCCACCTACACCTAACATAAAAACATCCATTGAATACCATTTCAATCATTTACCAACGGCAACGAACACCACAACAACGCTTTCTACTGGACCACGGATGTTATTGCTTCAAATATACCTGCGACTATTGTTATATGATATGATTTTGATGAAAGCATAAAAAAGTTGCCAAAGCGCCGCAGATTATTTTGTTTGTTTTGAAGTCAGCTAGAAACCCCAAGAAAAGGACTTACCATTAGCATTTCGTAAAGTTAAGTGAGGCAAAGGGGGCAACACGGCCACAGCATGAGAGGGCATTAAACCAGGACGAGTGGGACACCAGCCTGATACCAAACACCAAACAAGATACATTGTCACATATCGCACAAATTCACTGACACAATTCCAAATTTTAAAAACATCGCACCCATCATGCAAAACGATATTCCCAAAATCAGCCAGAATTAGTATTGTTCGGTAGACATACCTGACGTCAGCGTGGAAGGAACTCTCGTCGGACTTAGACCACGTGGAGGATAGTGCGACCCATCGCCCGAACTGTGCCCTGAATCTGACGATGCCACCGAGCCTACAGAGATATTAAGCGTCATTCAAAACATGCTCAGCAATTCGCTACGAAGATTGCAATAGTAGAAACAGAATAGTAAGGATGGTGCATGAGTGCAATATGCTTACCGGACTTGCGTAGGGGCATGTTGCTTAGTGAGGTGACGCTACTGCTTTCCGCCGAGAGAGCGACTGATGGCAGCGGCGTAGGAGTATCGGAGTGTGAGCGTTCGTGCATTGATCTGCCACCGGTACCGCTGCTGCTATACGATCCGTAACTCGAGTAACTGCCTGCATAATAAAATTATTGCATCGCTTTTAGTACGCGGGAGTTTCATAATTCGGTTAAAATTCACTTACCAGTTGCGCTTGGCGCTCGCCGCACTCCCGGGCTTGGCTGTGGATTCATACCGAGAATACCATGCGTTTGTCTAGAGTATGGCCTCGTTTTAGTTGGTTCGGATAGCGCCAATAGCTTTCTAACGGCTTTAGGTGATGCAGAGCCGAACTTCGCAGTAGGTTTACGCTCATCGCTGGCGCTGCTCGTACTGCTAGTAGTTGACGGCGCTGGAGAAGCATGTCGTTTGCTTCGGGGATTAGAAGCCGCCGAAATTGCAGGCGTATTCGCTGGTTCACACTCCAACGACATGTCGTGTAAACGCATCTCATCACTGACAACTTGAAGATTGTTCAAGTAAGCTTTTACCCGTCGCACCATCTGCGACTCCTCGAACATTTTCTTTGGGTTTGGTGCCGCTGCTGACTTCTTTCGCCGTTTTACTGTTGCTTGTCCTTGGGGATGATGCTGCGAAGATTGAGTTGTTAGCTGGTTTAAAGCAACCATTGCATTGCTGGTCGGTTGGCCACCAAGTTCCAGCATGGTGAGGAGATCATACGGACTACTGCACATGTTACTCAGGGTCCTTACTTCTTTCGCAATCATACGCAACTTTTCGAAATTGATTAAGCCTTCCACGTTACTGTCATTGCCAAGATGAATGAAAGTTAGATCCTTCTTAACAACTGGATAGAAAGGTATCTAAAAATATTCGTCATTAATAAAATAAACTTTGTAAATTATTTGCAACGCTTACAATTGGTGGCTGATTTTGTTCAGAATTCACAAGTTGTCTATATTTGCTCATGTTCCTGGAAGGATCCATAAGTTGTTGCAATTCCGAGAATATGCGTTGGTACTTGGTTGGTAATTTGTCCCAACTTTGGCGCAATCTTGATACAGCACCGTGACCCAAACCGCTGATGATTGCAAACATGGAGTTGAAATTTTTACACTCTTTGCATTGTCCTATAAAAGCCCAAGTTAGAACGTCTAATACATGATTCTGAAAATGTCATCATCTTACTTGCTACTTTAACGAACTGCTTGATGATCTTCATCCGCCGCACGGCGTTGTGCTCACTGCAGACTTCCGTAACGACCCAAAACATTTCCTTATTGACCAAAGCAGCAAACTGGTCCAACATTGGAGTGCCATACTTGGAGTTTAACTCAAACAACTCGTCAATGTACTCGGTCGGCTCTATTTGTCTAAATATGCTGAAGTCCTGCAACGTTAACTGAATGGCAACCTCGACTGCGTTCAGCTGTAAGAAGTGTACAGCGCTCTCTTATTAATTCAGGCGCCATGTCGTCTGAGACGAGCGTCTCTGAAATTCCATTCGTCTTGAGGTAATATCGACTGCTGAGCCCGATGCGCTCCGCAAGATTCTGCAGTTGGTCTGGCAACCGCCGTTGTTTGATAGTTTGGTTCTCAGTGACGGACACTTCACACAGACTGAACATACTGCTCGACTCTGTCATGCCGTATTCACGTAACGCCAGCATTACGACTTCATGCGCCGTCGTTTCCTTATGGATTAGTAGGTATTTGTACGTTTGGTCGGGCTTGAAAACTTTGAGAACGTGCTCCGGATAATCTGTGCAGCGCGAGTCATCGTAATACAGCGACATCAAATCGGGATTGCTCTGTGAGCAGAATGTGCTGGCGCTCAGCGTCGCCTGCGGGGGAAAACTGTCTACCTGATCTGTATTCATCGCCAAGCTGTAAAACAAGTTGTTATTAAATAAAAGTAACACCAAACTTTTGATTTTTCTCGATTAAATAGATGATCAAATATACTCACTTGATCATATTTTTGGGTAAAATATTCATCTTCATGAGGGCTTTCTGCAGTCGCCGTTTTGGTCCAAGCGTCATAAAGCTTTGTTTCTTGTTCTCTTTATGTGGGCTGTTGTTAATGGTAACTGGTTGCTGGGAAAGGGAGTCCACGGGACCGTCTATGCTATATCGGGCGCGCGGGTCCGGCTGCAGCTTTGAGATTTCGGAAGCTTTTCTGCCTCGCGGTCGAGGCGAGTTGTCGGGTGTATTCAACATTTCCTTGAAATTCAACAGATTTGATTTCACCGTTATGCTTAAATGCGTAGCGCCCTTTAACGTTTCCAGTGCCTTCGTTTGCGGCACGTGTTCGAAACTTTGTCCGTTTACTTCGAGGATTTGATCGCCACGTTTTAGACCCACTTCTTCTGCCTTCGTTTTCTTATTAACCTTTGAAATGAATATCCCAAAGTTGCGTTCGTAGCCGCCCATGATTTCAAAATTGAGAGGTTCCTCTCGACTAGATCGCGCCAACACCACGTTGCGAATTCGAGCCTTCGCCGCGCACGCAATATTCAACAGCCGTAATTGTCCCTTCATCGTTTCTTTCTCCAAACCCAGCTCGAAAGTCTCAAGAAACTCGATCATGTCGGGATCGGTTTCAAAATCCGTGAAGTGATTGTTAACCCACAGTAGTACGACACGTGTCACTCTATCACGAATATCTGCATTCGCAAACCACTCGAGCAACTGATCAGTCACGTGCAGCGGACTTTTAATAAATGTCCGATGCGTGAGAAGAAAGTCCTCCACATATGTCGGATCGGTCAAGCTATTCTCTTCGATTAACTGCTCCATTAACACTTTTGCCGTTGCGCGTATTACTACATGCCCTCGGCGATTGTTACTCTGTTGCAAATCGTTGGTACCGCGCAATTCAGTGACCATAATCAGTTTACCGTCGACTTCATGCCTGCGAGTATTCTCCTCACCCTGATGCTGAATCCTATAGTAATCATTTTGAGTAATGCAGACGAACTGACAATCATCACACTTTGTCCGCATATAACCCTTATGATATAGCTTATCCATTGTAGGCAGAATGCCGAAGGAATCACCCACGGTCAGGATCTGCGGTTCCTCGCCCGGTATCGTTACCTCAACGGTACCATTCACAAGCACCGACCACGAATCCAATTCCTCACCATCGTTCATCACAATTGTCCCACCTTTCTCCACCACTGCAAAAACCATTACCGCGCATAGCTCGCGCCGTACCGTCAGCGTCATGTTCGTGAAGGCCTTCAATTGTTGAGTCAATTCCAAGAGTGCATCAATGTCCTCGTTGGTGCGCTCGATAGGGTCTTTCTCCAAGCTATCGCGAACAAAATCCCGCACGCGTAAGCTCTGTGAAATAATACCGACAAAATTGATTACATTATAATGAAAAAAAGTTGGTCCCATCACATACCTCCATGCTTTCGGCCAAATCATCCTCTTCCTCACTGTCGTCCACAACGCTCTCGACGAGCCCGGTGAAGTCAAGCTCCTCGTCGACTTCCGAGTGCGTCGACGCCATCGTGTCCGAACCGCTGTACGCCGAGCTAGTGTCAGACGAATGAGATCCGCGGCTGTTTTATTGTTGTACAAGTTTGCCCTGTGACCAGGGATGCCCGATTGCGGCATAAAAGCATCGTCCAGTACGATGTGTCTATTTGTCGAATCCATTGGCGTTATACTGACTGATCTGATACTGGAAATACTATTTGTGGTCGTAGATGAATGCTCCAAGTCGGGATAATCAATCTGAAACGAAAGAAAACTTATAACATCAAAATTGCAATCATTTTAAGCGTTGGTACATAATCATTCTTTTCTACAGTTTATTTTAAAACTGTACCTCAGACTCGGCTGTATCTGAAATTGAATTCGGCCAAGATTGCGATTGCAATCTTGCTCGCCTTCTGCGCAAAACTATATCCTCCATCCGCACGCTTTTGGGCGTAGCTTTAAGTGTCCGAGCGTACTCCGCCGGCGGTGTATGGCAGGACGGTCCTGCCTGACCGCTGTATTCAATGCGTGCTTGAGCATTCTTCCTGCAGTTCTTTGTTCCTCTATAAGTAGCGTTCAATGCTCACGTTATGCGTGAAACAACTCCAAGAAGCGCCTGATAATAATCATTTGTCTGCACCGCACGCAGCAAGGAATTTACCAAAGTTACCGAACAAAGTAACCACACACAAATCCACAAACTAATCACGTAACCCTTCACCGAATTTAATTATGCATCCACCGAAATAGTTTGACGCAAGAATGAACAGTTCTTGAGAAGCGCAAAATTGTATAACTAGTGAACGAGAAGTCTAACGAACAACTAAGTGATATCATCCACGGGACCGATATTAAAACCGCTTTATCAGTGCGCAAACGGAAATATAATAAGTTTATTCATGTTAACACGCACACATTCTCCAGTGTACACGTATACTTCAGCATTCCGACGACAATACACACTGATTTTTGTTGCTATAGTTAATCTGTGACGCGTTCGTTAACAATTACGAATTGAACAATATGCGTAACACTTAAAAGCGTCCTCGACACCATGGTGCGTAAAGTGCAACTAAAGCGTGCTTTTCAACGGGAAGTTTCTGCTTCCTGCCTCCAGATATAATATTCCGAAACATATAAAAATAGACGCGGGAGGAGAGCTTGCTTGCGACAAATACGTGCATGCGTTTCTAGCTGTCGCAAGAAATTTATCATGTTCCGATGAAAGAACACATGCTCAGAAATGTTAAATATTTTGCTTGTGCGTTTCTCCTGGCTGCGCATGCAGTGCCTATTGCGTCGTGTGTGTGTGTGTGTGTGTGTGATTTTGTAATTGTAGCAATGCTACGAACGAAGTTTCCTCGCAACAGTTCTAAACAAAGCGCACTTAATTTTTACTAATGAGATTCAAGAATCGTGAGAAGTAGCACTTGAACGGTTTCCTTTAGTTTCTTGAGAGTAGATATAATTCGTCGATTCGGGAACCTTCGAAGGAGGATGACGTCAGCGCCCCCTAGCAGAGACTTTGTGAACTAATCTATAAGTTAACCTATCTCAGGAGGCTCCAGAATCGGCAAATTATATCTATTTGCGTGTGACCTTTTCAGTATAAAAAAGGTCAATGTTTTCAAAAAATGTATCGAGCTCACCGAACAAATAAATAGCGTGTAAGTTATTGATTCAATTGTCGCTTTCAAATCACAGCGCATTTGTTCAGAAAATTATATATTAACCGGTGGCATAGTTGAACTATGATATTCGAATGGCGTATGTTATATTATTATAATGCACTAGAATGTGTCGTATTTTTAGATGCAGACATTTGTACAAATACCAAGACTCGTAAATAGAAAGTACATCTCCTGGCAAATGACAACAATTAACTCATTTGCGGTGATTTAACTCTAAATCACAGCATAATGATACTGCACACCAAAATATAACATAGACCTTAATTTAGTTCATGATTAAGATTCCGGGTCAAACGAAAACAATGCACTGGGACTATTAAAATAAGTGCAAACATTATTCAGATATGAGAGCTTGAAAGGTCAGGGGTCGCGGCAAGTTCAAAACTGGTTGCTAGGTGACCCAAACAAGTCCCGACCATCAAACGGGCTTAGTGATATGGATTCCTGGCCTACCTGCACACCCACGCTGCGGCGCGCTTTGGCTAGAGATTCGGCGAGAACGCCGCCCATGCATTGTTTGCCATTCGAGGCAATTTGCCCCAATAAATTCGACGAAATCAGATTTACCGCATGCGGCAAAATTGCCAAGTTCTATTAGCGAATGCGTCCGCCAATTTCGATATTAGCTGATAATTGCAAACTGATTGAAAATCGATTACACTTGCGAGGGTTGATGTTGAGCACATGTGCGGGCGTAGAGGTGCCAAGTTTTAATAATTTCAAATAACATCAGCTCCCTCGACAGTTTGTTTATGTGTGTGCGCTCGGTAATTAGTCGAGAGAAACAAAATAAGCATACAATGATGGTGCATCCCACATGCGACTAAAAATATCACTCAGCGTGAGGTGCGTTTACTCAGTTTGTGAGAATGACATTTATAAATATAGAAACGATAATTAATTATCGAAAAAAGCTAAAAACTTTTGAATAGCTTACACTATCATAATTTTCTCGCATGTGCATCGGGGAAAAATGCTTAGAAATTAGAAGCAAATAAAAACAAACGCAACGTTTCCGTTTTCACACTAACATCCGGTTGGTTGGCCGGTAGTCAAGTGCGTACGTAGATTCAAGTAGGCCTAATTTGTATGCCGCGATCGTCTTAAAACGATACTCGTGCTGCTCGAACGGGCGCATCTGTTACGCGTTTAAATTAATTAAAACGCCGCTAATTATAAACGGCATATTATTAGAATGCATGCGCCGTATCCTAATTGCGATGCATACCGCGAGAAATTGCCTCGATAAGGTTGATTTCGTTCCAATTCTTGCACGCACAATCTATTTACGATCACTCACCACAATCATTTCAGAGGGTTCCAAGACGAAGCATTCGTTCGGTCTTCGTGCACTGCCACCGGTCCTCTTTCCAAAACTGTAAACAGATAGAAAAGCAATTAGTCGTTGGTGAAATATTCAAACAAGTTCTCAAGTTTTCACGTTTCGTAATTTAACGGTTTTCGCGATTGTACGCCTTAACTTTCCTGCTGATAATAATAATAGAAGGCACCGAGAGAGTTGCGAGAGAGTTTTGGAACGAAAGGGTGCGAGCGCATTGTCCTGAAAATATAATGAGCCGGATGTTTAAAACTGGCTTTATCTGCGACTATAATCGAATGTGGTGGTAGTCGAAGAGAGACCAGGGAAACCCCTTCGGCGCGACCGTTCGTCGTGCTTACGGCATGTACGTGAATGCATATAAGTGGCTGCTACTCGACGAGATCGTAGATACCGTGTTAGAGGGTTTTAATATAGAATGTTTCGCGTGTAGAAACATGCCTCAGTTATGCAAAGTGGCTCGAAACGTATGTAAGAGATATTGAAAGTGCTTAAACTTTTTCGAGAAAATAATGGCACGTTAAAAAGTTTTAACGTATTCAATAAAAATTTAAATTTTGACGAGCAAATCTAAATTACCGAGGGGGTTGTAAGTCTAAAATGCCTACATCCCTCGACATAATCGTCATAATCTACTCATGCGTAGGTTTTAAGCTGGATCATGTCGTTAAGAGGCTTATTGCCAACTGAAACATATACAAGCCTTCCAATCAGATCTAACCTCAATTCAAAGCTTACAAAATTTCAACTTATCTCCTAAAATAATTTTAGCCACGCAGATATAGAAAAAGTTATGACATATTTGTCGGCAGCACATGGGCGACAGAAAACTACGTCATCCCATGCAACAGGCATCTGAATGTGACGAAGTTAATCTACATCTACAAAAACAAGGAAGTCACACTTGAATAAACAACGCAGAATGTGAAGGAATGTAACCATGCTAGACGCAGATATTCACCAGAAACAGATATTCAAATCTCAAGTACAGCCGGGCAAAACTCACGAGCTTCAAACTCACTTGAAATGTCAGAGCAATCGAACGCTAATTCATGTTGGTGAATGAACTCATTGAATTCAAGTCCGACAATTCAACATTCAACTGTAGGGATTGGTTTTCATTCAGTGGAGGAAAAACACATACATACAAAGGCGGTGCAAAATTAACACATCAAGTGCTTTGTGAAAATGCACTCGTAGTAATACTTGGCTGACGAGGGAAGTGATTCACGCATGTGTAAGTAATAAAAATTACTCATCGACCCATTCATCAGCTTCCATTACCGTTTGCCATTACAACAGCATCGTGGCTGCGAATTAAAGTTTGAAAATATTGATTCGGATGTTGTACAGCATGAATAATGGCGGCTTTGTTCGTCGATTTCCCGCTGTTTAGATTGAATGTAATAGAATTGCTTCAACTACTATACTCGAACTTCAGGAGTGCAACCACAAATTTGATCGACCGGTAAATTAAGGGTTTGCTTCGTGAATCGTGAATCAAATAAAACAAACATTCAGTTTCCAATGAATTAAATGGCTAGATTACTTCAAAAATTGATAAATCATGATTCACACAAAAATTCTGATAAACAACTTGACTGATATCAATGGCAAGTGAATCAATAAAAAGTGCAAATAAAATATTGTTTGTGTTTAATATCATTGATTTCCAATTACTCAGTAGTATAATCTTAAAAACACGTTTGCTGAAAACACAAAACAAACATTTATCTCGTCGATACCGTGAAATATTTAACTTGTTCGTAAAATGCTTAATTGTTCAGATGCCCCGAAACTTCGTCATCGCACTTTATATTGATTAATCAACCGTTCATGGAACTCTCTTCAGGATTAAGACATTTTATCACGCCTCTATCACAATTAGTATCTATTGACAAACTCGTTCGATGCTACCACTAGATAACAAGTGAAACTGATTGATTTACAGCATTGATATTGTAATAATTCATATATTCTATAAATGTATGTAATACGAACATATGCACCCGTTGTTATAGATAAATATGAAACTAATTCAATGATTTGTAAATATGTTTATAAAACGATACATCGTGTAAGCCTAAACGATGATTAACGACAAATTGATTCGAGTTGAAATACTCCAACACGACACCCACATATAATTTACATATGTTGTTTAGAGTGCAATTGACAATATAAATCAGTTTGTTGTTTATTGTAAGACTTGTTCGTGTATTTCTAGACTTCGCATGCGTTTTCGGACACTCCCACATGCGTAAACATATTGGAATGCACATATGTAATTTTAATTGGTTATTATTTTTAGTGGAATACAAAAAAGTGGCTCAAATACATGTGGAAATTGATATAGAATCTGAAAGAATTATAAATTTAGTACAAATAGTTTTTGAATAATTTAATTTTAAAAAAAATATAAATTATGAGCGCGTCGCGTCTGCATCAGTTAAAAGTATGTCTTTGTTTCGAAGCTAGCGCAAAAGAAACATAACTCATTGTCATAACAATTGAAACACGAGTCAAACCTGATAATTAACGAAAAGAGTGCATGCCGTTCGTGCGATTTACACATCAAAGCGGAGAACGTCACACTCTAATTGAAAGTGTGAAGGTGTTGTTGTTATTAAGCCGTCGGTGAAAATTAATTGGAGAACGGCAATTTACTCGTATTCGTGCAACAGACAATGCGCCATTTCTCTTGCATGTTTAATCATTTAAAAAATTTAAAAAGTGAGTTATGAATTATGAATTTTCACTTGTTTAATTAGCGCGAAAACACGTTACAAAACGATTAATTAATTAAGTTAATTACGATTAAACACACAAACACCAACTTTCTATTTAAGTTTATCTTGATATAATTTTCTATGAATGTAAAAAATGTCACACGATCGGAACTTGCAGTGCATAAACACATTATGAACAGCCATTCATAAATACAGTTGCAATAATTGCCGCCCGACAAACGGCAATTGTGGAATTGTGCAACTGGACAACAAATGTGCATTAGCATACACGTTATGGCATATATTCCAAGGATGCTTGTAACATGTGTAATAAAGGCCAATTACGTACTTTACTTGTACAGTTATACGGCTGTATATTTACCTACTCTTCAGATATGACAATCACGACAGTAATGTGAATTTTGTTTAAAAACTAAATTGTACACAATCAATAAATAAAACAAACAAAAACATCATTTTAACCTAATTCAGTGTGTAATTTCAATTAAGCTTATATTTTATATCTACCGATGCAATCGATTTAATAGAAAATAATTTGTAATGTAAAAAATAACTCATTTGACCTCTCATCGGAACAAAGCACAGCATTAAATCGAAAATCTATAAACAATAAACAATCTCACATAAATAAGCCCAAGATTAAAAGTGAAAAGGTAAAATCTATCAACTTTTTATAATTCTTTCAAATATATTCCTGTGGTTTTCACTGACACTATAAACATATCTTTAAATCTCTCACAGCTCACCACAAACATGGTAAGTTAAATCCTCGCATGTTTTAGAAACTTTCACTTCGCCAAGGATTCACATTTCACATACAACGAGAATGTGGTGAATAGACAAATAAAAAATTGTGTCAAAACGAGGCTTATTTATTGCTGCTTTTAAAGTGGCTTTGCCTTAGAATAAAAACTTGTTGAAGAAGGCAGACAGACAGACATGCAATGCAAGCCACTCGAAAAACTAAACAATAGTCTAATAAGACAACACAATTGAAAGTCGGTACAATTTTTATCTTATCAAATGTTAACATAGTTGATTTAAAACTGGATATTAATTGATTGCGCGATACAAGAATGTGAAGGTCGATGGAATCCAGCAGTAAGCAACGCTCACAATTCACAAGTCTTCGATTTATAACGAAATGGAATTTGAACGATCCTGATGATACTTGGGCAACGCCGATACTTTGATGTACGTACAATTGTATCGCGATGGATTGCAATGTTTATTCAGGCTGCACCCATAGAAAATAGGACGTGTCATTGCAACGTGAGTGCAACTGGAACGCCATTAACTTACACTGTCGATCAAAATCAATACGAAAAGAACAACCTCGCATCACGTGCATTAACATTGTGCCGAGAGGTAGGTAGGTATCTAATTGATTTCCGCCGAGACCAGCCAGCAACACGTGAACTTCTCGTCGAAGAAATGGCAGAGCTGCAAAGTGAAATTCATTTCGTGTTTTGTTTCACATGTCCGTGCTTCCTTCCATCAAAAGCGGCACACGATTTTTATGAACGTTTTTAGGTCAGTAGGTGGTCGGCACTGTTGCGCCGCAAAAGATTTTAACCTACCTTAAATGTTGTGGATTTAAGATTTAATTACACGGAATTTAAAAGGTTAAAGCGAGCGCGAAGATTAAGATTTTACCAGAATATATAAATATAAAATATTCCAGCAAAACTTTTAATTTAATTAATACCTCAGCGTAATTTATTAATAAATATTAATATCCAAAATAATTTAGTAACAAGTAATTAAAACTTGAAATATAAACTTTTTTCGAGTAGAAAGCCACACACATCTATCAAACTAATTGATAGAGAACTGAAACGAAGCATAAAACTGCTTAAGGCGGTTTATGACCACCATTAATGCTCTCAGCCACTCACTCACTACTTAGTTTAACAATTGAATGAAACAATTACAGACGAGTTCTACACGAGTAATCAAAGACAATAATATTTGCTTTATGAATGGGTGGTGTACGCATGCACATCGTCAATCTCTGCCGGCATGAAGGCAATTAGTTGTAATTCTTGTAATACTAGAAGCAGCTGCATCAAAATGTCAATCATTACATCAATATAAACAGTTGATAGCAAGACTGCCATAAAAATATCCTATAAAAATAAAATTTCTGTATTTTTTATCGTTTTCCTACTTAAAAACTAAATTTACGATCTGGTTTTATATTTCTCTTTAGCAAAACAATTCCGTCCATCACAAGTGCTCATTATCCAGACTGTACAACAACTCTCGACGAGGGAAAAGGTTTTAA